AATGAATAATAATTATTGCATAATTAATTCGAGTTTTATTATTCTGATATTTATTGATGATATTTTAATTTAAATTGCATTTCTAGCGAAATAACTGTAGCGATGAACAAAGAGCGGCCACAGCCTATGATAGATGAGCATATATTGCATATGATATAGATATATTTATGTGTCTATATGGCTCTGTGCGGTTTGATACATATATTTGCACTTTCTGTTTGTTTAAAATTCACGTTTAATTGAATTAACAAATATTGCGTTGGGTTTGTTTGTTTGCAATTTCTGTTTGCCACAATTGGTGGCAATGGCAAGTTTTGATTGTGGTAACTGTCAGCGATTTTGATGGTAGCTACCTGAGCTGCCTGTGCTACCTTGTTTCCTTGCCACAAAATCTGTAACTAACTGTGTTTGTCATTTGTGGCTCGACGGGGCAGCTTAAGCGGTATATTAGTGCTGCTGCTTGGCAAGCTGTATGTATGAATGCACTTGTGGTATATGAGAGTATATATATATATACAGAATTATACATAGATATAGATAGAGGAATATATATAAATGTTGCCTAGTCTAATGAAGATATTATGTATAGGATTATAGTGAGTGTGGGGACGACTTGTAATTGGAATTACAACAGAAAGCTATAATCTCCACAAATTCTTAAGTCCTCAAGCTTTAAGCAAGTATTGTGTAGTCGTGCACGCTCGATAGTAACAGTCTGACTTGATGTATTTCGTGTGTTTGTGGCAGCTATTGAAATACTTAGTGCCGAGTGGGCGTGGCCAACTGCTGCTGCAACTGTTGGTGCAACTGCATGCGGCACTTAGACAATGCCACAAACCGCAGTCGTTTTCATTTCAGCTGCGGCAATGAAATCTAAACTGTTTGCTGTGGGCGGGTTTTTTTTTTTTTAAGAGCTGGGTTTTTGGGCAAGTGGGGCACACCCACTCAATTTCAGCTATGTGCAGCAAGTAGCACATGTTGCATGTGCCACGCACAGGCGACAAAAGTTTAGTTGTGCAACTAAAAGGAGCTGGAAACGAGAGTGGTCTGAAAAGTTTTAGAAAGGAATTATTAATTTAAAATATATTTATATATAAATTAGATATTTTGAAGGGCAAGATTAAGTGTGTGTGCGTGTGTCTGCGTGTGTATGTCTGTGTTTATGTTTTACAGTTTGTTTTGCTGCGTCTGGCGCAGTGTCACATTCAGTTGAGCTTAATAATGCACTGTAGCCAATAAACAAGTGTGCGAAGGTGCAGTAAAACAAAGTAATAAAAGCAACGAGGGGCAACTTAGAAGTCTGTGAAGCCAATGTGCCACTGAAAGTAAATGGAATGAAATGTAATGCAAACATTTCTGCGTTTCTTGAACTTCACTAATTTTCAGACTTCGCCCGTACAAGGTTTTTGTTAAATGTCATACAAAAATATATATGTATGTGCTTCATACTTTACAAGATGTTGAAAACTTGAAACAGGCATGCCTGTCCGATAAATGCAGGGTATCTAGCTACCAAATGGCACTTCACTATAGCATACCCATGCTTTACAGGGCATTAAAAAGCTGAAATATGTATGCCTAGATATATAGATATTTAATTAATATACAAACTAGCGATAAATATAGAGTATCTAGTTGCTGCTATTCACAGCTCAATAATATGCACGCTTTACAGGGTATTAAAAAAGTTGCAACAACTTTTTGAAATACTTTTAATTTATATATGATTTACTTAAGCAATATGCATACTTTTGTTACGTTAAGTACAGGGTATCTAGTTGTTAAATTCTCTAAGTTAAAAAAGCTACTATAAATAAAGTATTTGATATGTAGTGTATATATGGTATATATTCAGAGATTATTATACAGGGAATCTAGCTCTTCCATGCTTCTCAAATGCGTCACAGAGCTCAAGCCACATATCAAAGCATACTTTTAGGCTTCGACCTTTTAGCTTACTTTAAGTATAATTCACGTAATCTGTTAACATTTGCTCGCGCTTTTAGTGAAGTAATTTGCTTTAAAAAAAAATTTAATTAGTTAGATAAATTATAAAAACAAATGAAGTTTTAATTTTAATTTTAATTTAAATTTCAATTGTGAAAGTCGCAAATACAGCTCATACGGCAAAGTGGTATTGGTAGTAAGTCGGTCAACAAACAAAATGCGTTACCCCTGAACTAGAATTATAACATTCAATAATAATAATAATACTAATTAATAGAGCAATTTCTATATATACATATATATTTGGTTGAATATCGAAAGAACTCTCAACTAATTCAAGAACAATAATATTTCTCTTCTTTGCTTTAACACTAAAATACAACTACTCTATATACACTCTGCTTCGATTTAAATTTTTTTTCGATTTCTCTTCAAATTTTTAACACCGAATACAAATCTTGAAAATATTTTTTATATTAATTATTTATGAATATATATTTTTTTCACATATTTTTGACTTCACCACGAAAAATAACTTTTCAAAAAAAAAAAAAAAAAAACACAAAAAAATTTGTTGTGTGTCTCATGCACATTGCAACAACAACAATAAAACAACAAACATGACCTGTCAATCACGCATCAATCAAAAAAATAAATATATATTGATATTTTGTTTGTGTATACGACAACAATAAATATATATATATATATATTTATACATATATATTATATATATATATATATGTCCCATCAATATGAAAAATATGTCAATATCAAAACAAAACACACGCACATATTAAAGATACCATGGGGACTGAAAAAAATCTGTTGGGGTCTGATAAATATAACTGTGCCCAGGGTAAGCTATATCAAACATATCAATTTCAATTTCAATTTCAATCTTGATTTACGTCAGTTTCGTTTTTTCTGTTGTTTATTAAACACTTTGCTGTTGTTTGTTTGTTATTATAATTGTCCACACATGCCTATGTTTCACTGTACTCTCTCGCATCAATCAATCAATCAATCAATCACAAAGTGTGCTGTTCAGTTTGTATAAATTGCTTTATATATTCTTTTAATTTGTATTTCTGTTTGCTTTGTGTCTAAGTCTTTGTATATGTAGTTGATGTTTTTTCCTCTTCTTCTTCCCCTAGGTATTGTAAATTTTAATTTATATAATTTTTACTTAAGACAATTAGTCTTAGTTATTTATTAACAATTTCTTTCATGATTTTCAGCTAATTTTAAATACTAAAAGTTTACTCTCAGTTTGAGTTTTTCCTTAAGATCTATGAAATGTGGTTCAATTTAGGCGGTCAGAGTAATCTAATTCGGTGGGGTATTAATAAAAGTAAATCTCTTTGGCGTTCAATTAAATCATAATTAAGCAAGTTGTAGGTAATTAATATGTAATTACTTAATAATTAAGTACCTTATTTAACTGATTAAATTAATTACTCCAGTAATTTTATAAACATCTGCGGTAATTATCTTAATTACTCAATTTATGACAAAATTTTTTAATTATTCAGGTAACTAGGTTAATTACTGAAGTAATTGATTATGTTAATTACTTATGTAATTATGGTAGATTACTTAAATAGCTATATTAGGCAAGTCCTGTTATTCGGTCTAATATAATTATTTAAGTAATTACATCTAATTACTTTAGTAATTATTTTTTTAAATCAGCTGTAATTTTGTCTTTTCTATTTACATGAGACAGGTAAAAAATGATTTGTGAAAATCAATTAATTATTTATTTAGCTAGTCAAATAAAATACTCAAGTAATTATCAACGAAAGTTCTTAAGTAAAATATTAACGTATCTTGATAATAATGGTAATAAAGTTTTAAATTTGCAAGTTCAATCAATATTATTAGAAAACTAAATGACAAATGAATTTAAAGTGCATTTAATAAGGCTCATTTGCGTTTGGCCACAAACTTAATGAATTTATGATCCATTAAATTGCAATAGAACAATATTCGGTCAAATTTGCCTAATTAATTGCTCGCCTTTGATTAGAGCCTGGCCCACACTCTGCTCCAGGCGCATTGTCTTATCAATTATGCCCAGCAGAAAATGCTGAAGTGACACTGAAGGCGACATAATTTAATATTAATTAAATGCAGTCGTCGGCAAATTAATTAAATGCATTTTGATTTAGTTGTTTGAGCTGCTCAGTTCAAGTCAAGTGGTGTCTGTTCTCTGTTCTGGTAACTGAAAATAGAAATTTAAATTTAAATTTGATAATGCTCTAAGTAATGGTATTAACTGCATACTTCCTGGCCAACACACACAGACACTAGCACATTCACACACATACTCAGAGCAGAAGCACTCACACACTTTCAGCAGCCAAATTGATTTGTTGCAGTCGAATGCATCGCAGCTACACAGCGCCAAAATGCCAGAGAGCAAAAGCGTGAGCATCTAGAGATGGAATCGTGTCGTGTCACGAAATAAAAAAGGAACGTGAAAACTTATAAAATCTGCGAATGAAAAGCTCAAGTTAAATGACTATTAAAAAATATAAGAATATAAAAAAATAATAAAAGTAAAGAAATTTAAAAAAATGCAAGAAAAATATGTGAAACTCTGCTGAAAAATATAAAAATATAAAAATATGGTAAAGATAAGATTTTAATAATAATAAATATTTTGAAAATATAAATAAATTTTGTCTAATGAAAAATTTAATTATGTAATAAAAAAGAAATTTTTTCACATTTTACATAATAAATCATAAAATATATACAAAGGATGCTAGAATCTTAAAAATACCATAAAAACTTTCACATTCCACAGCCATCGCACTTTCATCTCTAACAGTTGAGCTGGGCAGGAAGCCCTTAGCTAGTTATGAATTTTCGCACTTGTTGCTTGACTATTTTTAGCCGTGTAACGAGCAAGGCTTATCTAATTTGAGCGCTCAATCGTAAACGCCTCAACCAAACAAAAAACCTCAGAGGCAGCTGCTGCGCCCTGTCTCCCTCTCGCCCTCATACCTTCTCTCTCTCCCTTTATAGCCTCTCTTGCTGTCATGCAAATAGTGCATTGTAAATAACTCGCGTTTTATCAGGAGTTGACAGCTCTCTCTCTCTCTCTTTTACTCCTCTCGCTCTCTCTCTTTATCTTGCGCTCATCTCGCTCTATCATCTGGCTGTTCCCGTTAGTTGAACAGGCAGCATCGCAGGTGCGTTTCAGTTGAGATTCGCGTGCGAACACACAAACAGCCAAAATAAAGAAAGGAAAATGCAACGCTGCATAATTAGCGCGCATTAGTGAAAACGCGAGAGAAAACAACAACATTAATAAAAGAAAACTCAGCCAGAAAATACTCACATCAGTTTTCAGTGTGCGCTTTCCAATTGAAAATGGTTATCGATTCACCGCACGCAGCAAACAAATATTTGCGTCGCATCTCGCGTGATTTCTCCACAGTGCGTCGCTTCAGTAATACGCCGGCTGTTACCCCAGCCACGCCCCCGCCCACGACAGCTCCATCCGTGGATGGAGACGAACCATTGCCCAGTACGCCGCGTGGCATTCGTAAGCGGCAACGTTTGCGTAAACGCTCCTCCGTCTCGTCAACGCTGTCGAAAGTTTTGATACTCAACGTGCGTGATTTGCTCAGAGCGCAGGCGGATACTGAACCAACAGCGGAGGTACTTCAAATAGAAACGACCAATAGTAAACAAAAATATTCTACCCCTCTTTACATCTGCCCCACTTGCTGTTACTAATCGCAGTCTTATGCCGCCTGTTAGCTAACAATGGCTGTGCTTAAATGTTGATTTATACCCTGTATTAAGGGGAAGTGATTAGAGTGGGTATACTGAAGCTGTGTGGGATGGCAGCTCTTCATAAATTAAGTGCTTTATCAGTAGATATGTGCCAGATTGTTTTAAAATCGATACAAATCCATGCAATACATAACCGATAAATATCGATTACTATAATATCGCCAAATATCAAAAGCTTTAGTATAACTACACAAATATATAACTAAAATTTCATATTTCGATAAGTGCTTAATATCGATAATTATCGAATAATCACGTTTCCTAGAATGTAGACAATTAGCACGTGAGGAAACATATTTAAGATTTTTGTATTGGCATTTGCTGATTAAATATAATATATATCGATAAGTATCGATAGCTTATATATACCGATAACTAACCATTGTTAGAATCTGAGCTTAACATAGGCCATTTGGTATTTTTATGCTTGCAAATTCTTAATCTAAGCACATAATCCAATAAATAACGATAATTATTGTATGCCAATAACTATCGTTTATGCCATCACCCCAACAAAAAAAGAATTCTGAATTATCAGAGTTTAAGGCAACAAACTGGTTACAATTGGACCGATTTGACCTGGTTTATGCAACTCTTGTCATCTTTACAGGGTATTCAACTAGTCGTGGCCTCCATACTGTACTCATGTCTTGTTTTATTTGCCAACTGTTGCATTTGCCACAAGTTTAAGAGCCGCGCGTTTGGTGTTTGAGTCTCTTGAATAGTTTTCGCCTTCCGTTTGCAAGTTTTCCCATTTGGAATTTTTCTTTTATTTTCTTTTTGCTTTTCATTGTTCTTTGCAACTATTTTGCATGGCTTTTGCTTCAGCTCGCGCTTTGTCTTAACTGCAAATGCGTTAAGTTTCGATTCGATATACCAATCGAATTGTCCAGTTGACTTAGCATGCTATTATCTGTTCTTTATAAAGTGTATAAATCTTAATGTTTTTATTGAAGTTTGTAGTTTTCTTAAGTTTTCCACTCGTTTTTATGGTAATTTGAGAAAGCTGTAATCAAAATGAAAGATAAAACAGAAGATTAAGATTTATATATTTGTGTTTTAATATTATTGTACAATGTAGTTTTAACTGTTGCTGTAAACGTAAAGAAAACTAAATTAAAAAATACTCGTTCAATAACCTAAAGATGTTTTTTGGCTTTATACAAGCTCTCTATTTTCTCTTAGTACTATAAATGGCAAAGTGTGAACTTCCTTTAGAGATTGAACAAAAATGATATGTAAATGATTATAATCAGTAATTGATAATCGGTTATCGATAAGTGCTACAGTTTTAGATCTACTTCATCAGGTTTTCCAGTTAGATCAATGTAGGCATTCGTATAAACGTAATAAATCTGAAATTAATGAAATTTTTAATTAATATTAATTAAAAATATTTTTTTGAACGAGTATTAGGTAGTCGATAGCGCGCGATGGCTATATTTTTATTTGTCTATAAATGTTATTTTGTTTTATTTTTATTAAATTTTGTTTTTATTTATTTTCATTTATTTAAATTACTTTTCATGTTGTTTAGCTAGTTTCTATAAACTCCCTCACTCAGCACTGAAAACTTTTAGTGTAAATATATCTTGTATATAATTTATATATATATATATATCAATATCAAAATCAATATATATGTTTAGTTATTTAAGCAAAAACAACAACAATACAGTATTTCAATATAGCTTAAATATTTCAGAAGAAAAAATTTAATTTCTGAACTTTCGGATTAAATTTTTTATCTAAGCTCTATATGGCTTCCATAAAGGAATTTATTTTTTATTTACAGCTCTAGCTGTATTTTTTAAAGCTTTATAAAAAGACTAAAAACATATGGAATAAATGTATTAAATATATTTTAAATTATATTTACAAAAAAAAATTAAATAAAATATATATAAATTATTATAGCTTATATATATTTTATTTTTTATTTTATTAAATATATAAGAAACATTATTCTATATATATTTTAACCAAATATTTTCTGTGTTTAATGTGCCATATGAAAATGATAAATTTCCTTTATTTAGACACTAAACTAATTCAAATTTTCTTCTTTATTTTATTAAATTTTTTATCTATCCCATATATGTATATATATATATATATATGTAGCATCAGCCACGCAGTTGGATCGAGACAAACTTTCAGAAACGCGAATGCATCAAATTTATACCATGCCCAAAGGACGATACAAAGTAAGTGCCAAAGCTATGAGAATCCAATTGCAATTCATTTACTAATTAAGCCAGTGAAGTGCAGCGCCACCCCCAACTAGCTAAGACAGCCCCTCCCACACATCCCCATTTGGCTCACAAATTTTGACCCAGTTTTGCGTATCAAAAAACAGTTTGACTGCAATGTATTTGGCCCAGTTTATCTAAAGTGGGTTAAATTGAGAGAGGTCGAGAGTGAGATGGGTAGAGGGAGAATTTGTGTATTTAGTTTCATTTTTGGCGCTGGCATTTTATTGTTTATTATTATGGCTGGCAGTTAAACCAAATCACGCCCCCTCACCACCAGCCCACCACCAGCTCCCAAGATGCGCTCTCTAAACCAATTGAGATAAATACGTTATAAACTTGCCTGCCAGCCTGTCTTGTCTGTCTGGCTTTTCCGCGCTTGACTTGGCTTATTTGGGTGAAAGTTTTTTGTTCTGTTCCAATGTTACGTACAGTGTGCACAGTTTATGACGGCTTTATGACTTTGCCCGACTGACGTTCTTATCAGCCAGTTGAGCTGCTTGTCAAATATTTGGCAACGCGCTTTTAACCCACAATCAGCTGCCTGGCCTCAGCTGGCAGCTGTTTTAATGCCCTACTCTGCCACGCCTTTTTGCCCACCTCCCCCCTGCCACTGTTGTTGCAGTCATTTACAATTGTTGGCGCTGACAATTTGTGTTGACAACTGTTCGGAGGCCGCCCACTGAAATCTATTGGCAAACAGATGGCCATTTACCTTCTCTTGTCCTGGCTAAATAAATTACGCTATTTACACGTGCTTGTAAATTGCCATCTGTGTGTGTGTGTGTGTGAGTGTGTGCATTAAATATTATTCAAGGCTTTGCGTGTCCTAAATGGCTTGATTGATAGTATGTGTGTTGGCACGTGTTGCATGTGCCACACACAAATGTGCAGATTTATTTAATTTGAAGAGGCGGAATATAATTAAAGAACTGGGGTAGATAGGTTTCATAAGGTGAAGAGGGGAGAAATGTGTACAGAAGGGAATTAGCAGGTAAAGTGATGCAAAGCGTACAGAGAGAGAGAGAGAGAGAAAAGCAACGGAGGGACAGAGATGGATAGAGATAAAGACAGTTAGAGCGAGAGGTACAGAGAGATATATTGAGAGAGATAGATAGAGGCAGATATAGGAATAGACAGAACGAGGGAGGATGAGAAAGAGAGAGAGAGAGGAGAAGACAGATATTGAGAGACTGAAAAAAAGAGAGATAGGCCTAGAGGGTGACCGAGAACGATAGAGATAGATGGAGAGACAGATCCAGAAACCAAAATAGAAATAGATGTAGAGGGAGAGATAGAGACAGAGAGACGGAGAAAGGGATAAGTACACAAAGAGTTAAAGAAAGAGAGACAGAGAGAGAGAGAGAGAGAGAGAAAAAAAGAGAAAGCAAGAAATAGGAAGAGAGATGCAACACTGAGAACAGGAGAAAAGTGTGTGAAGAAGAGGAGCAGAGTGGTCAAGAGAGAATTAAGCAAATATGAGAGATGAAAAACAAACGTTGTAATGGCTTTAGTTGCTCTTCTATATACATTTCCTATATAATAATATAATATATAATATAATAATAATAAGTAAAGCATACCCACCTGTTGTGCCCATTGTGCTTGCCAAGTTAGGCTATTTTTGCCAGATAAGCCAAACTTCAGGCTGGAGCTGCAATTGATTTATTCATTAGGCATTTGTTGCTGAGCGATGCATATGCGTGGCTTGTATTAGTTAGCTGTAATTGAAATTTATTATTTAACAGGACGAAAAGTTTTGAGCAAACGCAAAGAGCAGCTAAGCAGATGAAGTAAGAGAGAGAGCGAAAAAATGACAAGCAAACAAACATGCTGCCTCTGTCAAAGCTATTGTTATAGCCAAACACACTCACACTCAGGCAGAGACGCTGCGGCAGACAGACAAATGTGACAGCTTTGCGTATGAGTAAACGAAAACAAAAACAACAACGGAAAGGCACAGGCAACGGCAACAGCAACAAGGCCACCCACAATAAGCGCCAACAAAAGAGCCGCACATGCATAAATAACGGTTTATTTTACACGTGAGGCTTGCCATAATATGCGTGGGAAGCACGCGTGCTTATGTATGCATGTGTGTGTGTGTGGAGTGTTCTTGCTGCCTCGTGTCATTTATACAACACATATATTGACAATAAATCAACACGTCGTACAACAATAACAGATATATCTCCCCACTCAACTAATTTGCCAGCAATATAAATAAAAATATATATATATGAAGAAATATGCTTCCCTTTTGCCTTTGTGCCACATCCGGTTGCAATGCGGCGTCAACTTAACCTGACTTTAACTGCGTATTAACAACTCTTTTGCGTTTGACAGATGCTGCTGCGGCCAGGCACAGATTACGCATCAGACGATTGCCGGCATCGAGAGCGGCTCGCCGGGCGACCTCTGGCTGCCCACCAAGCATACACGCCCACAGCCCACCGATGCATATGGTACAATTGAATTTCAAGGTGGAGCACATCCCACCAAGGCGCAGGTGAGTTCCAGTCGACCATAGATAGTAGATAGTTTAACTGAACGGCAACTGAGGTAGTTGACTAAGACTGAGGTCCATTACATAGGTCATTAAACTCGTAAATTGTATTTGATAATAATTAAATTGCTAAGATAATTACTTAACAAATTAAATGAACAAATAAAATGTGCTCAAGAAAATTAAGTCATTTGGAAAATTTGCTTCAGTAATTGAAATAATTATTGAACTAATTAAGGTAATTAAGAAAGACATAAATTAATTAAAGTAATTAACTCAAAATTAAAGTTATTTTTCAATTTGTTAATATATTTTGGTAATTTTTAATTATTTTAATTATTAATTATAATTGAAAAAAATAATATATATCACTTTAATTTGACTTAAACATATTTTATTTAATTAATTCCATTAATTACTTATTTTATTATTTTAGTAATTATATTTGAAGTTCGTTTTTTCTTATAAAAAATAAAATTTACTTTTTTAATTATTTGATTATTTTGTATATAGTCTGTAAATTCTTACTAAAGAGTATCAATTAGTCAATACTACCCGACTAAAATATACTCGAACCATACAACTTGAGCTGCTGTTTAAGTGGATTTTTATATAATGTGGCAGAGGCTCTATGCCACTTTAAAAGCAAATTTGTTGCGAGTCTCTTTGTCTCTCTGGAGGCGTTGCTTCAACTTTTGCCAATAACTTAGCAAACGAATACTTTTATATATATCCTCAGTATGTACGGCTGTCATTTGATACACGACCGGAGCTGCTGGTGCAGTTATTCACCAAGGAATGGAATCTGGAATTGCCAAAACTTTTGATCACCGTGCAGGGCGGCAAAGCCAACTTTGATTTGCAGGCAAAGCTCAAAAAGGTAAGAAAAAGGAAAGGAAAAGCAAAAGCAGAACAAACTTTCAACTATACAAACCAAGTGTCCACTTTCACACGCTAATTGAATGGCATTCAAAAAAGAAAAGAAGAAGAAGAAAACTCTTCAAATTCCAAATTCTTCTTTATAGGAAATACGCAAAGGACTATTAAAGGCGGCCAAAACTACGGGAGCTTGGATTTTCACGGGCGGCACCAATACAGGTGAGTCGCTTCGAGTTCATTTCACTTTTTACTACAAAAATCTTTTATGGCAACACTATTAAAGTCAACTTGAACGAAGTTAAATAAGTTTTCAACCAAGAAAATAACGCAGCGACAGACAATAATGAAACCCTCTACAACAACAGCAGCGGCAACAAGGAGAAGTTCAAGTTGGGCAGTCAGTTGAAAATTAAATAAATAAAAATCCCAAGCGGATATCGCGCAGTCAAGTGATTGCACACAGTTTCCGTATTAACTGAGCGACACTAAATGCCCTAACAAAGGGCGGAATAATGATGAAATGTCAAGACTTTTGCCCTGGGAAAGGCAACGATAAACGATAAACCCTTAAATAAAACTAGAAAAGTTATATTTTACAAACATTTTTGGGCAATTAAGACATAAAAATATATATCTATAAAATTTTAAGTTTTTTAATTTATATATAAGTTAAACTGGTTTAAGTTTGTAAAGGATATATATTCATGCATAAACAAGAGTTAAGCATTCTTGAAGCAACGCAACTAGAAATGCCTTTCTTTGATATAGCAATCTGATTCCTTTTCAACTTAATATTTTCATACAAGAATTAGGCAAGGATTCATTGCATTTATTGTAAGTTGTCTTCAATCAAATTTTCTTTTAGTGTATCTCAACTTCGTTACTCGCTTTCAACATTAGTTTTTGAGTCCTTTTTTTTGTCATCTTTCTTTTGTGCTGTTGCAGCTGTTATTAAATTTTAGACACGCTGCTCTGGCATGAACTTAATCCAACAGTAAAATATATATATATAAATATATATGTGTAATATATATACATATATACATTTATGTAGTAAAAAAGTGAAAGTCAAAATCAAGGTACTCGGATTTCTCTATACACAAAAAGTAACACAAAAGCGTATTTATTTTAGACATGTTTTTGTTGCTATTGTTCACATTGTCTATAAGTTTATTTTTTGTTCTTTTAATATTCGTTCGAGCAGTAAAGAGGGTATATAGGAACGTGTCAAACTAGACTGAATGCCATACCAAGTCTTCATTTCAAGGCATGGGCTGACCTTCGTCTGCTAAATTATTAATAATTTATTGGATACGCAGACTTGAGGCGAACTGAATCGAGAATTGCTATAACTTATGAAAAGTATTCGAACCTTAAAATATGTGTATATAATATATCTAAAATAATATACCTAAAATGATATATATAATTATTAATTAGTGTTGATTTCCAGAAAAATACCAGATAAGCAAGATCTACCACAGTTTTATGGCTAGACTATAGAGACTTATAGAGACATTAGAAAAAATCAGAACAAATTAGAACAATTTATTCGAGGAGCAAGCATTAAGCAGTCAGTTAAGCCTGATAAAAATTTTCTTACTTGTTCTTTTATTTATTTTTTTTTTTTGGTTTTCTCTTTGTTTTACAGGCGTCACTAAGCAAGTGGGCGACGCTTTGCTGCTGGAGGGGCAGCAGAGAACAGGACGCGTGGTCAGCATCGGCATTGCGCCCTGGGGCATTGTGGAGCGCAATCATGAGCTGTTGGGTCACAATCGTGAGGTGCCCTGCCACAGCATTAGCTCGCCAAGGTAGGTTCCACCCACTGCATATTTGATAAGGCCGCAGCACAAGCTTTGTTAAAGCTGTTCTGTTGGCAATTTGTGGCACCTGTTGCCAAGCTGAACTCAGTTGACATTTTACAATAAAATTTACTTTATTTTATTTCTTTACTAGATCAAAATTGGCTGTGCTGAACAATCGACATGCGTATTTTCTGCTCGTGGACAATGGCACCCAGGCCAAATATGGAGCTGAATTGATTTTGCGACGCAAACTGGAGAAATTCATTTCGAATTTAAAGCTGCATCCATGTAAGTTTACGATGAGGCAGATCAACAAAGCGAACAAATGCAATCAGTTTTAGTCGGATTTGCAATTGCGGCAAGCAGCCAAAGAGGAAGAGGAAGAAACTTTTGAAATTGTGGCAAAGATTAATATGCTTTGAGGCAGAAGTCGTACAAAAGCTGCCTGAGAGGCGTTGTACAGAGTTCAGTTTCCATGCAGAGAAATTGCACACAGCCCTTAAATCTAACTTAGGTGTGCAGATATACGAGTTGAAAGTGTTGGATTAATCCATGTGGATATTTGCATATTAGGAATTGAATAGAGAACGTATAGATTGAGCGAAGAGTGAAGCTAGTTGCATGGACTGCATCTTTAAGTGAGCTTCAATATTTCTATTTGACATTTAAGACTATAGTATTATAACTTATTAATGGGGCCTATCATGCTTTATGTATTAAATTGCTACGGACCTATCATGGTAGTTGTATGACTCCAGCATTCAAGCTTTAAGCTCTTAAAAAAGTTTGTTTGAATTCTAAAAAAATATTTTTGGAAATATAATGTAGGAAAGCTGCTGCTAACAGCTTTTAATTAGCTTAAATGTGCTTTGAAGCTTAATTTACTGAATATAAAATAATTTTAAAATTTTAAATGTGCTTTAAGCAGCTTTCTAGTGCTTTTAAGATTTAAGCTTTTTAGGAGTAAAGGTGAGGTAAAGGCGGCATCTGGAAGGCAATTTGACCCAAAAAGCTTTAAAGCTTTAATGTGCTTTATAAATGATTGCCTCAAGTCTGCTGAACAAGTTTCAATTTAGTGTAACATATAGTCAGAAAAAAGTGAAATATAGAGCGTAGAGCATAGGAAAACAGAGAGAAGACAAAGTTGCTCCACTAACACAACTTTCAGCCAGTGTCATTTCTAAAGGTTAAAGTTTCATTTGTATATGTGCTTAGCTCGTGGAACAGTCGTTCGCTCGTTGAAGCTCAGTTCAAAACGTAAGTATGAAAATACGAATGAGTAGTATGCTGTTCTCTTCTGTGGCCTTTGGATGATTATTATTATGATGAAGTTGTTTGCTTTTATTATTATTATGACTGTGTTATATAAAAAGCTTGTGATTGAAGAGTGGACAATTGTATTGCATAAATCATGCTGAGGTTAGGTTGAGTTAGCTGCCAGCCGCCAGCTAAGCGATGCTCTCGCTGTGAATTATTGACTCGCACCTTTCTTAGATACATTCATATATAACATATATATATATATATATATATTATGTATATATGTATGTATGTCGATATATATATATATATATATATATATGTCTTTAACATAATTTATTTATGCCCTTGCAGTCACACATTCCAGTACGCCGGTTGTCTGTCTGGTGATTGAGGGCGGAACGAACACAATACGTGCTGTCCTCGAATACGTGACGGATTCGCCTCCTGTTCCTGTTGTCGTTTGCGATGGTTCCGGCCGTGCAGCCGATCTGTTGGCCTTTGTGCACAAGTAAGTCTAAACGGATTGTTATTTATATATAAATATATCTTTTTTGGCATCAGACTGATTGCCAGCTAGGCAATTAATGAGGCAACAGCCGTTAGTTGAAATTTAATTAGTTACGCCTTCTCATGCAGGTTGGCCTGCCGTTGCCTGCCTGTTGCCTGTTGCCTGCTGGTCCTTTTCTTATTTAATTTGCGGCTGCTTCTGCCTTGTGCGTCTGATATTGTTATTAGTGTCTGTCTGACTGCTTTAGGCAGGCTTCACGTTCATTAAGTACACGACATTTTGGCAAATTATTTAAATTCGAGGCCCGCTGACAAAATGTAGGCCACAATGTTACGCATAAGCCGCGTGGCCCGCAAAATTACGCATACGGCGCGTAGCCCACTTCGTTTTGACAAACTTTTTGTCAGTCTTATTTAATTGTTGTTGTTGTTATTGTTGTTCTTTCGTTATTTACCTAACAATTTGTGGCCTCCATTCCCTTTTGCTTCATTTAATTTAATGTGTTTAATTAGTCGCTAGACTTACTTCGACCTAGACTTTAACTTTTCTGTATATATATATATAAGTTATTTATTTTAAGATTTCGAAATTATGTTAAGCGCGTACGGAGTATCGGCGTTAACACTTATTCGAAAAATGAGAAGACTTTGTGAATTCCGTGGCGATGACCGACGTTCTTTATTTCCAAAAATCAACTAACTCTATTTGACAATCGTTCTTATAATAGAAGCTAGCCCTAAGCCCTGAAAACGCTGGCATTGCATACAGTACTAGGTCGCTGGTCAGCAACATTGTTGCGCGTGGACGCTTCCGCTGTTGTGCAATGTCCGCTTGAGACAGCTGGTGTCGTAAGCATTTATGCTGAGAATGCATGGTCAGCTTCAATATTTACGTTCTGCTGATCAATTGTGTTAACTCCTCCCCCACTTAGGTGAATGACGTCCTCGGAGTTCTTCAAACTGTTAATTACCGCTTGAAGATCAAGTTGACGTTTGCTCCTCTGATGTCTTTGATAAAGTTTCATTGAGGCGTAGCAGGAAAGTAGAATGATGACCACGGTTAGTCCAGATATTATTGGTCTTTTTACCAGTTGTTCTTCTATTTGAGCAATGTCCCGGATGTTTTTTATGCTTAGCTTCTGTAGGTACGGCAGGCTCGGTATTTCCTGATGATCCGTTATATTTAGAAGCGTGGATGCCGCTGGTCTCGGGGATTTCCTCACGTATTTTTTTGGATTTTTATATACGGTGCCGTTTACCTTTATCTCGTTGTCAAAGGTAAGGAGGAATGTCCCTTTCACCATTTGCTCGTCAACTATAGCCACTCTGTCGTTGATGATGATAACGCCATCGTCGATGATGGTTAGAGGTTCAAGATGGCTGGGTCGAGTTGAGCAATGTGCAGTGCCACCTGAGTGCAGTTGTTGCGCGCACGTTGTATAGGGTAATTTCTTACAGAACGTTGTTGTGAGGGCTGTGCTACAATTTCCTATTGATATTACATGGTTGTCGCAAACAGCTATATCGTAGTCTTCGGCGAAATTGATTACAATGCCATCGTGTTGGACAGGGTATATTGTTAATTTTTTACATACTATGTTAGGCTTAGGGTATCTTATAATAAAGTGTAAAAAGTTATTATTTAGCAAGACTTTAACTTGAGATACTTCCATTAAGTCAGTAATAGTGATATTTATAGGGTGTTCATTAACAATATTTTTTAAGTCAGAAGAATCTAATATGGAGGGGTTTACAATTCCAACCTTTGCAAGTGTTACTGATAGCATCAAGGTTTCTAGTTCTGAAATAATTATTCTGTTTCTTGAGAGCAGTGTCTCATACAAATGTTCTGTATCTATTTGCTTTGTTTTTGTTATGAGGTTTACTGTGTCGGTTAGCTTATTTATTTGTTCTTGCATTTTTGTGTTTATAGTTACTTGCCTGTTTTCTGATTCTACAAGTTCTTTCTGTGTAAATTTAAGATTTTCCAAGTCGTCGGAGTCTGGCGTGCCAGCTACGACTTTAAGAACGGTGCCTAGCATATTAATGCTCCTAGCATGTCTATGATGGATATTTACTGTGGCTATTAGTGCTTCTATATGTTGTATATCTGTGTCTAATAACTGTCTCATATGTGATCGTGGAAAATTTTGTCTTAATTTCTTCGTGTCCTCTACTATTGCTGAGTATAGAGTAAGATTAGTTGAATGTTTTAAATATTGGAAATCCGTCCAAATGGTTACATATCCGTCTGAGATCGGTATGTAATCTGTGTTCGTATAATCGGTAAGTTTCGCCGCTACCGTTGTGGCGAAGAGAATTATAGCCCAAATCCTAAAGATAAAAAGAAATAAAAAGGGTTTAATGTTTTGTTTACCTTAGGTTGTCTTTGTGGACCACCCTCCCTTTTATTAAGACCGTTGTCCCCAAGTCTGCGTCAATTTTGTTTTCATTGTACAGTGGTGTCAATTTGTTCCCTAAACGTCTGTTTGCCTTTACAAGAACTGTATCGCCTACTTGGAATTGTCTATCGTGTCTTGTTTCATTTACCCTGTTTATTTGGAGCTGCTGTGCTTTTTGAATTTTATTTCTTATTTCAATTTTAAGTTCTGGGGAGGATGAGTGGATTATGTCGATTGGACGTTTGTCTGTTACCGAGTGAACTGTGTTGTTGTATTCAATAGTTGCTTGGAGTATCGTTTCAACGGTATCTGTAATTTTTCTTTGAGCTGTTAGGCATCTTGCGATGTCGCTGAGGGTGCTATGAAATCTCTCGACTTGTCCATTTGAAGTACTATGGAGTGGTGGGGCGTTTACGATTTGAATGTCATACTGGCCGTTTAATAGTGATTTTATTGTTTCGGACTTTAAGGAGGGTTCATTATCGCAATAGATCGTCTTGATATGTCGATAAAAATTTACAAGTTGTAAAATTGCCGATTGTATGTCGATTATTGTCCTTGAAGCAATGGGTTGAACGGTTGCGAATTTTGAAAATTTGTCTATGCATGTAAGGAAGTATTTTTTATCAGTTGAGTATACGTCAATGTGTAGCATTTCACCCACATAGGAAGGTATAGGAGTTTCTCCAAGTATTTGTTTTTGTGGGTGACGGTTGTACTTAGCTGTTTTACAGATTTTGCAATTTGCAACCACTTCGTTAGCTAGTTTTGTCATTTTTGGAAAAAAGTAGTCTTGTAAAATCTGTTTTACATTTTCTTGAGCTGCTCTGTGGGCTCGATTGTGTTCTGTTACAGTTATTTCTTTTTGTTCGTTCTTGTCAAAAATGTCATTTACCATATGTTTTGTATATCGAAATATTGTTGTTGGGAAAGTTTCTATTAGTTTATGTTGTATGAATGCCAGTACTGGTAACTCGCAATGGATTGCATTAACGACGTCTTTTTTGACTACATCGTAAACTCTTTCGATTAACGAATTTCTGTCTGAGAAGTGAATTGTATGTCGGATTTTTTTACCGAATATAATGACTGTACGATCAGAGGCTACTCTATCTTCTTCAATTATAATTTGGTTTTGGAAACAGTTGATTGGTTTGTCTGTTGTTTCTATAGTGTACGTGAGTGATACTTCGCTATGCATTGTAGCTCTGTCTGACTGTGCGTCGTCTTCCAAGGCATGAATATTATGCCGCGATAGCGCATCAGCAACGTAGTTTTCCTTCCCTGGCTTGTAATAGATATTTGCATTATACTCGTCTATAAAAGCTTTCCAACGCCTGATTTTTGCGTTTGGATTACGGTCAGATACTGCAAACGTCAGGGGTTGGTGGTCCGTAAAGATATTTAAATTTTTTACTCCGTACAGATAGTTTCGGAGGCTTTTCAAGGCCCAGACTATAGCAAGTAATTCTCTTTCATTTGTTGCAAAGCTAAGTTCCCTATCTTTCAATGTCCTTGATATCATGGTGATTGGTTTTCCACCTTGGGATAAGACTGCCCCTAGACCAAAGGACGAAGCATCAGTTGTTAAATCAAACGCTTTCTTGTAGTCGGGGTAGAGTAACATTACATTTTCGGATGCGAGAACCTCTTTTAGTTTCTCAAATGCCGTGAGTTGACTCTCGTCGAATTTTACTGGTATTTTCTTTGATTGTCCTGCGCTAACTTTGCCGTTTTCGCCTTTTAAGATGTCGCTTATAGGTTTTGCCAAAGATGCGAAGTCCTTGATAAAACACCTATAGTAGCTTGCCAGGCCGAGGAATGATCTGACGTTAAACAGAGTTGTTGGTAATTCGTAGTTACGAATCGCTTCAACTTTACTTGGACATGTCTTTATACCTTTACTTGAGACCACGAAACCTAGATATTCAACGCTTTCTTTGAAAAAGTGTGATTTTTCTGGCGAAACTCTCATGTTGGCCTCGTATAGCTTATCTAAGACCCAGGCGATATGTTTGACGTGGTTTTCCATGTTTTCAGAAAAAATTATTACGTCGTCGACGTAAACATAACAAGATTTTCCGATTTGCTCTCTGAGCACATCGTCAATGGCTCTTTGAAAAATACTGGGTGCATTTTTCAAGCCAAAAGGGAGCCTGCAAAACTCATACTTTCCACTTCCTATAGAAAAGGCTGTCTTTTCTCTGTCCTTTTCAGCAAGTAAGATCTGGTGAAATCCGGATTTCAGATCTAGGGTTGTAAAATACCTTGCTGTTCCTAAGTTGGATAAGATAGAGGCAATATTGGGGATTGGATATTTGTCGTCTATTGTTTTTTGGTTAAGTTTTCTGAAGTCTATGACTAAACGCTTCTTTTTCCTTCCCTGTTCATCAGTACCTTTTTTATCTACAACCCAAACGGGGTTATTGTACGGTGAACGAGATGGACGTATTATACCGTTTTTTAACAGGTCTTGAGTTTCTGCGTTTACGAATTCCGATACGCCCATTGGGTATGGGTATAGTTTGGAATATATGGGATCCTCATTTTCTGTTCTAATGGTGGCAATGATGTTGGTATTATACGGGAGTGCCTCATTTGGTTCCGCAAAGACTCCTGTTCGTTTCTTGAGCATTGTTTGAAAGTTTGTCGTTATGGCTTGAGGGGTTTCTATTTCTTTGACATCCGTAAAATTTACGGCTGGGCATTTTAGAAATTTAATAGTCTCGGAAGTGCAGTTTGTTATTAACTTCTTGTTTTTGAAATCTAATATAACGTTGTTTTGGTTTAGTAAATCAAGTCCAATTATACCGTCAAATTTCGTAAGGTTTGGTAGTAAGAAAAATGTTGTATTTGTGTTAAAAAGATGCATTGTACACTTCCTGTCAATATCGTTATAGCCATGAATTGATTTTACTCGAAAGGGTTTTTCTACTGGCTTAATATGTTTTAATTCTTTTAATGGTTTAACATAGTTTTTAGAGGCCCCTGTATCTATAAGTAATCTTATTGTCCTTCCTGCCACTGATCTTTCTATGAACGGTAGCAGGGAGCCAGGTCTAAAAAATGGACCTGGTCATATTCGTCGGATTCGTCTTCAATGTCTTCTGCCTCATTTTCTGCGATGGTCCGGTATTTATTACCGTCCTGTTCATATTCTGAATCTCTTGCTTCTAAATAGTTAACTCTTTGCTGCTTCGGTCCTGTGAGTCGTGCACTACTATTATTTGGTCTCTTGTTTGCTTGTCCCTGATTATTGTAACTTTCATATTTTGTGTTTTGTTGTTGAGTCGACCACTGAGTTTGCTTTGAGGGAGCCGTGTTTTGCTGGTATTGGGTCGTCTGTCCGAAGCGAGCGGATGTATCAACGTCCATTGGTTCAACTTGTTCTCGTCGTGGTGAGAATTCTTGTTTCTTATAATATGGGCTTTTCCCTGGCTGGTTGTATTTTGGGTCTTGAGTTAGGTTCCTATCTCTGCCTTGTTGTTTTTGTACTGTTCTCTGAGCCTTTTCTTCTAAACTACGTGCAAAATTCGTGGCAAACATATACCGGTCATGATTAGACTCGACTTCTTGGGCTAATGCCAGTGCAGACGGAAGGTCAGTTGGTCTAGCTGAGAATAGGACATCACTTAAAGTTTTCCTGGTACCTGAGATGAATACTCGTAGAGCGTCTGCCCTGTATTTCTCATTTAACGAAGAGGCAACGTTGGCGTCATAGGTCATGATTGTCTTATTTATGAGTAAAGTCAGTTTCTTCTCCACTTCGTCATAGTACTGTAGTAGTGTCAGATTTCCTTGACGGAGTGTTGACAGCTCTTGTTCAATTAGGTATATCGGTCTTTTGTCTGCGTACGTGAAATCTAACCGATTTATAATGGCCCTAAAATTCAGAGGAGTGTCAAACGAAGAGAGTACCATATCGGCGGCGTTTTTAATTTTGTTTCTTAATATTCCTAAAGCTTGATAATGTTTCGAGCTACCATCATATTTTTCATATACTTTGTATGCGGTATGCGCAGCTTTCCTCCATGATACATAAGTCTCATTTTTTCCTTCAAATTCTGGAAGGGATTTCATTATGTCAAGGGTTTCATTGCAAATGACGCTTGCCCTGATCTCGGCCTCTCTAAATGTTTCTACTTCAGGAGTGCTAACTTGTACAGAACCAATACGTTGTTCTATGTCGCGTAATTTCTGATCAAAGTTTTCTTTTTGGGTTCTTAATGCGCTTGTAACTGCGCCTTCTACAATCGCTCTTAACTGTTCGTTAGATAAAGACATTTTTATTTTTTCACCTGTATCTATACTTTGAAATTTTTTTACTAAATCTTGTATCTCACTATCACTCATAACATGCAAATAAGATATGTGTAGTGTTTTTTATACAATTAAAATTTAGTTGAACAGTTGGAATTGTATTTTTACAATTTTTATTTATTATTATTCTTTTTTTTTTTTTTTTGAACACCCTACTTACATGTTCTTATATTATTTTCGTAGAGCTGATGGTTTGATGAATCCCTCGGTGAACTTTTTTTGTTGCGTATTAGTTGTAATTTATAATGTTTTTTTTCACAAATTATTTGTTGAATATTTGTTTAACTGAGTTCGGGTTTTTTTTTTCACAAATTTTTTTTTAATAATTGTTTGATTGAGTTCGGGTTTTTTTCAAATTATTTGTTGGAAATTTTCTTAATAGAGTTCGGGTTTTTTTTTTTTTTCACAAATTATTTCTTGAATATTTGTTTAACTGAGTTCGGGTTTTTTTCACAAATTATTTTTTGAATATTTGTTTAATTGAGTTCGGGTTTTTTTTTTTTTCACAAATTATTTCTTGAATATTTGTTTAACTGAGTTCGGGTTTTTTTCACAAATTATTTTTTGAATATTTGTTTAATTGAGTTCGGGTTTTTTTTTTTCCGATTTCGTTGGGCGCCAGTTATTTATTTTAAGATTTCGAAATTATGTTAAGCGCGTACGGAGTATCGGCGTTAACACTTATTCGAAAAATGAGAAGACTTTGTGAATTCCGTGGCGATGACCGACGTTCTTTATTTCCAAAAATCAACTAACTCTATTTGACAATCGTTCTTATAATAGAAGCTAGCCCTAAGCCCTGAAAACGCTGGCATTGCATACAGTACTAGGTCGCTGGTCAGCAACATTGTTGCGCGTGGACGCTTCCGCTGTTGTGCAATGTCCGCTTGAGACAGCTGGTGTCGTAAGCATTTATGCTGAGAATGCATGGTCAGCTTCAATATTTACGTTCTGCTGATCAATTGTGTTAACTTATATATAGGTATGCATCAGATGGCGAGGAGCAGCCCGTGTTGGAATCTATGCGTGATTATCTCATTGGCACCATACAAAAAACCTTTGAAGTAGGCTTGGATCAGGCTGAGAAACTTTACCAGGAGCTGCTGCAGTGCACGCGCAACAAGAATTTGGTAAGCACTTTTGACTTTGGCATTGAGTGGGTGGTCCTAAATACAATTTTGTTAAATTTTGATATGCCCTGTAATTGGAGAGGTGGGCTATGATAAGTAGTAGGTTTTGTAGCTGAGATGACTTGCTTGAAGTTTAGCTCAACTTGAGTTCAACAACTTTTTAATTGCTTAAAAGGGCATTTTTTATATAATAGCATAAAGCTATACATATCTATTATATATATATCAGCTATTTATATATGTCTTATATATTTAGTAAAAAGAGTTTAGAATAGTAGATAGAAATATTTAGTTGTGTCTATATAAACTTACTTCACGGCATGGATCTAGTATACATATAAAAATATAGATACTTATATATGTTGTATAATCCATCGTTTGTTGTATTTACACTGCCTTCCTATGGCACAGGCTGATTGCTGTTAACGTAGTTGTTAAGTAATGAAGCTTTGGCCGTGTACTTCAGCAGTCCTCCATATCAACTCTAATTCCCTATGGATCGTTGAGTTTCTTACATAACATATTGCATTTCGTATGCTCGGCAAAGACATTCTGTTCTCTGTCTCCTACTCTACATAGGTTTCATGTTTGTTTTACATGGAAACAGCTTGTTGCGGGCAAGTAACTGTGACTATAACTATAAACCTATTTGCTTAGCTTAGTGAGTTGCTTAGTTTAAATGTGTCCTAGTTACGCATTTTATGAACTGTTATCAGTTACCTTTAATGTCAATTGACTTCTATGTGTCCTTGAATTCGCGGCATAATTAGACAGATGAACGACCTACTCAAACTCTCACTAAAAATCCTTAAAAATCTTGCCATTTATAACTGATATCAATAAACATATCTAAGCACTTCAATTCACCTACAATTTACAGGAGCTCTTCGATGCGAGCATTCCTTTGCTCTCACCTGATCTGCTTATAAGCCACACATATATTTAAGGCATTCCCCTGGCAACACAATATTTCAATTCCTTTTGTGGCCTAAATTATATTAAATTGTTTAGCCACAAAAGGAGAAAAATTTGTGTAAAACATAAAAGCGAAGCATAAAACATATTTTATAGATATTTAAAAGGTCGTCAGGTGGCATTGGCTCAGCACTTTTGCCCGTTGATTGTGCTCGCTGAGGTGTTATTAACTTAAATATATTAAGCAAAGTTGTTGCTTTAGTTTAAAGTAGAGATGATTAATTACGAAGCGAAAGGCTTTCACCTTGAGCAATTAAAAGGGCATCAAAGATGGAGGCGAAATCCATCCCACCTCGAGCTTCATGAATTTCTTCGTGTGTTTGTGGCAGTTCTTAAAGAGACTTAAGTCAGTGGCGCTTTAGAGATTTATGTATTTAATTAGCCAACAGTTAACCTGAAAAATAATTAGCCTAACGCAAGATTCAATTGAACGTTTAATGAATTTTAAATCAGCCACGAACTCATTTTTGCATACCACAAATAGAATTTGCCTGAATTTTTGATGAATTTTAGATGAATTTTGATGAATTTGCTGTCGTTGTTATTAAGATTTTAATTGGTTTTCAAATAGGGCAGACCTCTTGCCTTGCTGCTAGACAAACAGTATTTTTGTTTAGCGGTTTTTACATTAGGCATTACTTAAGGCTTCATTTCGCTTCTCTCGTCCTGTCTCCCTTCAGATTACCGTCTTTCGCATACAGGAAAAGCCCGAGGGCGAGGCACAGGAGCTGGATCAGACCATTTTAACAGCTCTATTCAAATCACAGCATCTCAGTCCCCCAGAGCAATTGAGTCTTGCATTGACATGGAATCGTGTGGACATAGCGCGCAGTGAAATATTTGTCTATGGACAGGAGTGGCCCAATGGTACATAAATACGTTATACATATACAAAGATATATAAAGCTATGTATATATATGTATATATACTTGTTTAATTTGGATCCATTGCTTGCATAATTCTTTATTATATATATCCGCAGGCGCTCTGGATGAGGCCATGATGCAGGCACTCGAACATGATAGAATCGATTTTGTCAAATTACTCTTGGAAAATGGCGTCTCGATGAAGAAATTTTTAACAATACCCCGACTCGAGGAGCTCTACAACACAAAACATGGTCCGGCCAATACCTTGGGGTAAGTTTCGTTTTCCTTGTTGGCCTATGAATATGTATGTGAGCGTGTTCGTTTGGGTATTCATACTGAATGAATGTTTTTCGCTTCCTTTTCAATTTTCTTTTTCCTTTTTTTTTCATTCTCGATTGCAGCTACATATTGCGCGATGTGCGCCCGCATATACCCAAAGGCTACATTTACACGCTTCACGACATTGGCCTTGTCATCAATAAACTAATGGGCGGCGCCTATCGGTGAGTGAGAGCAGACAGGGTAACATATGCAGGCGTCGTGTGCCTGGCTCACGTGTGCAAAAGCTTTTAATACCCTGTAAATTAAATATTTAATAAGGGTTATATGTGTGGGACAGCTCAAGTCGAATTTTTGCTGCTCGAGTGGGTTTTGTTCACTTTAAATCGAATAGCTTGCCCTTAAATACCCTGTTAATTGTGCGTCAGTGGGCATATGCATTTCTCGGTTCATATTTCGAGCATATTGTGGGCACTTTTCGTTAAGTTTTTGTTAGCTAAGCAGATAGAATTTGATTCGATGCTCTTAAATACCCTATACATTTATCGCAAGCGGGTATATATTTTATTTTCTTCAAACTACAAATGCTGACTATAAATACCCTGTAAATTAGTTTCAGGATCAACGCATAGAAATTTGGAAATTAAAGTGTATATTGAGACTTATTAAAATTATGTTAAATTGAATGAGTTATGTTGTGTCAGATTGCATATAAGTTTTGAAATACCCTGTAATTCACAAGGCGGGTATATTGAATGTTTGTGCATAAAGTGAAGTTTATCATGAAATATTAGTTGAATTATTTGCTTGTAAAATTAAGATTTACTCAGTTTCATAATACTCTGTTAGTTAAATGAAAAGGGTATATTCCTTGGAAATGCATTAGTTTTTCAATTTAATTAGAGTAAATGATGCTTTATTTGCTTAGAAGACAAATAGTTACGATTTTACAGCATTTGTAGTGCCTATTTAATACCCTGTCATTCTAATAAAAGTGGGTATATCATTACATTACATTACATTAAAGGAAATTTTATGACTACGACTGTTCTGAAATTAAATAACTGTCATAGAACTAAAAGTGGCTTTAATTTGAAATATTCACTGGCCGTAAATACCCTATAATTTGATTTAAAGTGCAGGTATATTGCACTTTATATTTTAGTTTGGCTTCAGGCGCTTTTCGAACTTAAATCGTACAGAGTATCTATCAGTCAGTCTCCTTGATATTTGATTACTCTCATTCGAACCGAAGTGCGCAAACACTACAGGCAAGAGCTAAGGCCCATCAAATCGAGCTGTTTGAGTAATTGTACCCCAAACATAAGAACAAGAATAAAGTTTAATGTTGGCCAACTGAAATTTCAGTGGAAATGGCACTACAAAAGGCAGCAGTCGTAAATTTCGGGGAAAAGGTCGTGACAAACTTAATGCCTAAGTTATAATGATCGTCTTCTGGCATATAAAACGCGCGCCAATTAAAAGCTGATGGCAACTGGCAAATGGACAGTGGGCGGAACGCGAGTGGGCTTTAGGGTGGACCCAACAAATTAGTTTATCACTGCAGCGTTTTCGGTTTATGTCTGTGTTTTTAACTTTGACCCAAGCTCCATAAAGATTGCTGCCAGCGCCTCACCTCGGCAAGTATGGGCCACGCCCTGTATCATGGGCCGACGCCTTTAACTTGTTGCCGGATTAAATTTGATGAGCCGCAACGTCGACGTCAACGCCGCCTCCGCTTGGCAAAAATTTGTTTATGAAAATGTAATAAGTTTGTTGTTTTAGCGTGTGGAAAAACAAAAAGTCAAAAAGGGCAGCGAGCAGCGGCAAAGCAGACGCCAAAAGGCGTCTATAATTATTCCGCATTAACATTTTTGGCCAGCGAGGCAAAAAACGCAGCGGCTTAAATTTAGTTAACGCGGCTTTTGAGGTCGCTTTGTGTAGGAATGTAGGAATTTAATAAAATATATAACATTTTACCTTTATACACTAGAAATGTGGGCATACGGAATGTAATATGTGGTTTATATATTAAGTGAATTTCGAAAGGGCATTACCTATACTTGAGAACAAATAAGGAAAACTCTTCAGACTGTTTCGTAGGTTGAAGTCAAACTTTTAACAAAGGGTACATTAAGGCCAGGGTGTAGCAAGCTCCTCTTGCAGGGTATAAAAAGACTAGAATCATTTCAGTTTTATATTCACTTTGTCTGTGAAACTCATCAATAATTCATTTAGCTAAAACTTGTCGCAAAGAAAATTTGGTAAGGGTATAATTTCGTCGTTTATTGCCACTTATTCACTCTGTTTTGTGTTTGCTCATTGTGAGCTGGCCCTAAAAATGTTTGAGGTTTCAATAAGGGCGGCCGAAGCATGGCAAATGTATCAATCAAGTAATTTAATTAAAAGCCAAAAAAACGCATTGTAAGAAACGAAAAGTTGAGCAAGTTCTCCAAATGGATCACAGCAAAAGTGCAAAAAATAGAACAGAAAGTGCCCAAATTAAGGGTTCAGCGCTGTTTATGAAGTTTCATTGAAACAAAAAAGAAGTAAAGTAAATTTCATTGGGGGATTTAAGTAAATGTTAAATGGTTAGAAAGTAAATGTTCTTCTTTTGGCACATTTTTATGCAACTTTTGTTTTGTTTGGCTTTTGGCCATTGGCTCATTGGCTCATTGATGTCGTTCGGCTAGATAAACTACTTAATTTAACACTTGCCTCTTGCTCTCGCCTATTGTCCTTTTTGGGTCCTTTTGTGCTTCAATCAAAGGTCACAAGTTATCTGACAAATGCCCATCTAAATGCTATTTGGTCTATGGGGCTCGACGGAAAGCTGAAAACTGAAACTGGCATCGAAACTGTTGTTTAGATTAAATTACGCTTCGCTTCTTGTTTTTGGCCTTTTCTCGCTTGGCTTGCCAAATACCTTTGGGGCGTGAGTTTCATAGGGCGTGTGTGCATGTGTGTGTGTGTTTGTTTCTGCCTGTGGTTGTGTATGTGTATCTATTTGGCATTCCATTCAGCAACGTCTAGACATTTGAATGAGCAACAGGCAGGCAGACAGTCAATCCTAGAGACCTGGCCTGCCAATTTGTGAGTAATTAAACTCGTTCAAGTTTTTGATTTGCTTACCATAAAATTTGAATTGATTTTCCAATTGTCGCGCGTTTATGTCCCATAAATTATTTATGGCAACATTTTTTCTTTATTATGCCCGCTTTAATTGTTTGGCCGTAAAAGCGAGCAGCAGCTGCTTAAACAGCTTCTGTAAATAATGATAAATAAAACAAAACAAGTCAAATAAATTTGTAAGCACGAGTTTACTTTGGACTTCTTTTTAAAGAGCGCTTGAAAAGGTCATGTGCTCCAGAGTGTAGATTTTCACATGCAGATTTATGCTAAGGAGCTCCTATAAAGATATCTCAACAAACCCCAGCTTGAGTGGAGTGGAATATATATCTGAATGGCGATAGAGATGCTTACACAAAAATAGGCAGAGATTGAGATACAGACGCAGAAACAGATAATGATACAGATACACTTACAAAAAAAAAAACAGATACAGATACAAACACATATACAGACACAGATACACTTACAGCTAAACGTATGAAAATACTTTAAAAATAAAAAATTAAAATACAAATTTAAGTAAAGATTCATTTGCAGATAGAGATACATTCTACAGAAGCAGCAGCAGCAAAAGCTACTAAAAAGTTAGAAATATTCAATTGGAAAACAAACGCAATTACTATTTGTGTTTTTTCTCCTACTTTTTTGGGGGCCAGGATATAAATCACTTAAGCCAATGCTGACGCCAACGTCTGGCAGAGGGGCGGGGGCAGAGTTTTACAAAGGGATAAACGCCAAGCAGAGCCTCAATCCAATTGTTGACAAAGGGAATGCTAAACGAAATGGCAATGCGGGCAGAGCTTAGCAAATAATAAAGAATAATAAAATAGAAAAAAAAGAACTAAATGTAAAAAAGAAAATTCTTTCAGACACTTTTTCTACGGGTATTATTATTACTTGGCCTCACGTTCGGCCTCGCAGTCCCTCTGTGAGCTAAATAAATTTTGCTTAAATGCAAATTTCGGTTGAGAAATGACTTGACTTGAAGAACAAACCAAATTTTGTTAGCTGGCTATTTATACTAAGTGTGTGTGTGTGTGTGTTGCAGATCGTATTATACGCGTCGCAAATTTCGGCCCATCTATGCGAAGGTGATGAACAGCTATGCAAATGCCTGCCGCAAGTCCTCGTCATATCAATATCAACGCTATGCTGGGGCCAATTCGCTGAGCCTCGTTACAGGACTGCTGCCATTTACCACCGAAATGGCACTCTTCGAGTTTCCATTCAACGAGCTGCTGGTGCGTATACGTAATTTTTAAACAATTGCCTCTTTGGACTCTATTAAGCCTCAATTTATTTCGCGCTCTCTCTCGCTGCCATTCCAGATTTGGGCCGTGCTCACGAAGCGTCAGCAAATGGCTTTGCTTATGTGGACCCATGGCGAGGAGGCGCTGGCCAAGTCTTTGGTCGCCTGCAAGCTATACAAGGCCATGGCTCATGAAGCGGCCGAGGATGATTTGGACACGGAAATTTATGAGGAGCTGCGCTCCTATGCCAAAGAGTTTGAGAGCAAAGGTAAGTCGTGCATAACTGACTTAATTGACACTCTCTCTCTCTCTCGCGAGCGTCGAGTGTGTGGGCGACATTTGTCAACCAATCGGGCCACTCGTCTAATTAACGTAACTGACCTTTGCGGTCAACTAATTGACATTTGTTTCATTTGTGGTTCTGTGTGGTGGCTGCGTTGGTAGGCAACAAACTGTTGGACTTTAGCTATCGCCAGGATGCGGAGAAGGCGCAGCGTTTGCTTACCTGCGAACTGCACTCGTGGTCCAATCAAAGCTGCCTCTCGCTGGCCGTTGCTGCCAATCATCGCGCTCTGCTCGCCCATCCCTGCAGCCAGGTGATTCTGGCGGATCTCTGGATGGGCGGATTGCGTACGCGAAAAAATACAAATTTTAAGGTGAGTGGGAGCGAGGAATTGCTTTGAATTTTTTTGGATTTAGTTTAAATATTTTATAGTCTATTCTATATAATTAAATAAATATATTTTGGTATTCAACCAGGTGATTCTGGGCTTGATCATGCCCTTCTATATCAGGCAATTGGACTTCAAATCCAAGGAGGAGCTGCAGCAAATGCCGCAGACCGAGGAGGAGCACTTGGAGAATCAGAATTTGGATAATGATGATTCCGATCGTTCGCAGCCGGATGCTGAGGTAAGTTGCACATATGCCAGGCCCTACTGTCTCCTCAGAACTGATGCTGCTATCCTTTGAACTAATGTTTGATTTATTTAACCAGTGTTTTTTGTTTTATTTACATTTTGTTTTTGTTTTTGGTTTTGTTTTTGATTTTCTTTATGTCTTATGTGCGTGCCAGTTCTTCAAAATGTATTTATTCAATTTTCAGCTAAGCTATATACCGAATACCTAATAATCTCAATTAACATATACATATTTATCATATATATATATATTTATATACCTAACTATATATCGTGCTATCATATACCCTACCAAATGCCATCTACCCGCTCTATTTGTTTTAGAATGCCCTTTTAAAAGCCAAAAGATCCATTTCCTTGAGATATAGGATGGGCGCGGGCAGTAATAATCGCGACAAGGTAGTAAAAATCAACAGATAACAAAAAACAAAAAAAAAACAATAAAAATACCAACATTATTTCAAGCATTTCCTGTTCCAAGACTCTATGTCTATTTATCTATACCTACTATATATATATATGTTTCTGAACGTATTTGTTACTTTTATGTATTTGCTGTCGAACTGTCTGTCGGTCTGTCTTACTCCTACTCTCTGTCTTCCTCTGTCTCTCTTACTCTCTCTCTATCTATCTATATCTCTCTCTCTCTCTTTGTGTATTGTGTATTCTTTGTATTCTGTCTATATTAACGATATACTCATACATTACTTAAATTTATGGCATATAATTTGTAACGCATTATGTGTTTAGTTGATTTTTATTGATTTCTTCGCCCAGTCAACTTAATCCAACAATTTGTGGGCTATTTTTAGTCAAGCCTTGTAAATCGCTCGCCCTTAGCTGTTAGGCAACGTGTCGCTGAGCCGTTTTGAAGTTTTAGTCCCCTAAGGTTACTTTGCATAGTAATATAGCCGTTGTTGTTGGTCCTTTGTTGCCTTAAAGTATGCTAATGTTATTGTATAACAAGCAACGTGTAGCAAAGAAGTATAAAAGAGCCAAAACGAATGTATAATACACCATGTGTCCATGAGTAATAAATCCTACCCGTTGAACTATATAACAATTTAACTGTATAACAGTATAACAGTATAACAGTATAACTGTTTCAAAGTATAACACTTTAATTCTATAACAGCATAATAATAAGACAGTATCACAATATAACAGTAGAACTGCTGAACTTTATAACAATTAAATAATGCAATAGTATAACAGTTAAAATGTATTACAGTAAAACGATTAAAATGTTTGACCGTATAACAGTTAAACTATTTCATTGTATAATAGTATAACGGTTAAACTGTTTTACAGTAAAACAACTAAACAGTTTGATCGTATAACAGTTAAACTATTCCATAGTAAAAGAGCATAACAGTTGAACCGTATCACAGTATAACACCTACAGTGTGTGACCGTCTAATATTATCAGAGTATAACAATTATAACAGTATAACTATTGAAAAGTAAAATAATATTACAGTATAACAGTATAATATTAGTAGTACACAAACTAAAATAGACGGACTACAGTACAAACACTGTATAACAGTCAAATAGCACGCTTGAACCACGCAAAGGTTCTCACTCCATTCATATATGGTCAATTCGTATACCTAATCAATACAGTCTACTCCCTCTCTCTCTCTCTCTATCTCGCTCTTCCTCTCTCTCTCTCTCTCGTTCTCTCTTTTTTAATACACAAATTAATTTAAAAAGTGCAAATTAATACCAGTTGAAAAGCATTCGCCATCATTTCACAGTCCTGCCAACTCAACAGATGTAAGTTCTTCAATAGAGCCACGCTCACCTAGACACCACCGCCCCGCATATTAACAATATATGTAAACACAGTAAACTCAATATATATATATAAATGCTTTGCTTTGTTCCCTATGCCCGCTGGGGTATATCCTTATTAAGTGCGAATTAACATTAAGCAGTCCTAACAGAATCCTTTGCAGCCGATGTCCCATGGCTTAAGGCTTAATTTAAAGTTCAATTAAGTAATAACCGTTATGAGCACAAACACGCCCGCAAACACACACAAGCACACGGCTATTAACAATGAATATATGTAGTACGTGAAAGCCAGCCGCCCCTCTCGCTCGCTCTCTCGCTCTCTCTCTCTCTCTCTCTCTTTAGTTAGTTATGGATATATCAAGCTGTTTGTTGTGCTCGCAGCTCTCAGGAGCAAACTCTGCAGTTGTTCAAATATTGTTTTTCACTTACACACACACAGGTACACACACACACCTCCACATATGCTCGTTTGTATAGAAGCGCAGTTGAAAATCCTTTAATCAGAAAATCAAATTAAAATCCATTGAACCCGTGCGCACAGCTATAAAGTTGTTAGGATAAATGACAATCGGTTGTTGCCTTTGATTAAAATTCTTTCCTGCCCCTCCACCCCCAACTCCCAAGCTCTGTTTGAGGTTGCGATTACCGTTATTATAGTTGAACACTTGTACAAACACCAGCACAGATGCGGCATGCAGCGAAAACTTTTTTATTAAATTTCAATTTCTCTTCAATATGATTTTTATTGTGCCTATCTCTTTCACACACCCACATACACACACACTTTGTCAAGTACTCCACAATTAGTTCGCATCTTAAAAATTCATATCATAAGCTCGTACAATTTGTAGTTTTAATAGACTTTCAGTTAGATGATGTAACAAAAATCGTAAATCGTAAATTGTTTTTGTTTTTTTAACTATATATATATGTATGTATAAATATATATATATATATACATATATATATATATATACATATATATACATATATATATATATATATACATATATGGAAAACGTGCGATCCCCTTTCCCCTTCAACCCGTTGCAGGCTCTATTGGCGGATACTTATTCGGTGCGCGATACAAAAGTACACGAAAATGGCAAAGTGAGTAAATTCACAGTTACCCACGAATACAATCACACACTGACACAGACATAGCCCAAATCCAGACACACACACACACACACACACATTCAGTTGTTCATCCATTTACATTTGTGAAACTTTTTAATTGAATGCGCTCCAAAAAATATATATTTTCATATACAACGAAGACAATTCAATACTTTTTTTTAAGTGTACGTCTAGCACATAATTGAGTATACTTAAGATGAAAAATTATCTATAACAATTATATAATCATATAAAACCTATTCGTTTATAATAATAGAACACATTGTATGACATGCGGCATATTACGCATACGTCCCGTAGACCGTCCAAAAATCAAATCCCTTGATTTGTTTTTTTTTTCTTTTTTAGCTAAGCAAGTGCCACTAATTGACTAACTAATTCATCTGATTAACTCAAACGAACATCTTTTTGATTTTTTATTATTAAAAAAAGTGAAAAATAAACACCCCAAACTCCTCACACCGCGTACTTTTCCATAAGTACCATTGCGTTAAGTACTCGTTCGAATTTTACAGGTTAATCTCACTGCTGGAGCGGAAGAACCACCCTCCAAAGTTAGTGTTGAATACCCTACCCATAGCCTAACCAAGTAGTTTCGACTTAATTCTTATTTATCCATTACGATATGCATTTGCTATTTGTTTTTTTTTTCTGATCCATCGAATCGAATCAATTCGATTTGCTTTAGTACTTTTTGCCTTTGCAGCTTTAGTGCATGTGCTTACCTGTACCTAATTGGCGCGTAAATAAATTAGAAATCAAAAAAACACCTGCCCACACGCAAAATTTCAATTAATTAACTCACTTTATACTACGTATATATATTGATATATATAAATATAGATATGCTGCTATGTAGGTTAGTTTTCACTTTCGCCCGACCAGCTCTGCGTATGCGCAATTTTGACGCGCGTATACGCCGTGTGCACATGTACATATCAACACATACTATATATATATATATACAGATATTTTTGCAATATATATACTCGATATATACATATATACTCACGCACTTTGAATGCCTCTTTCCGTTCTGGCTAATGTTGATAATTGAATTCAACTCAATTTCAAACTAATTTCACATGCATTTTCACTCGCTGCACTCGCCACACACAACTAGCGACGACAAACTAAAAGTTTTTTTCTTCCGTTTTCCATGCAATTATTTTTGCGGATCTGACAGGTCTCGCTAACAGACTCGGATCCATCGCAATTCCGCGAATTCTTTCACCTATCTGAGTTCACCAACGAGATTAAGCAGCATCAACCGCTGCGTCTGAAGAAAAAGTTCTACGAGTTCTATACGGCACCCATTACCAAATTCTGGGCTGATTCGGTGAGTATTTGTGGGGCTTAAAGTTTATTTAGTTATTAGCCAACGGAAATTAGTAGCTAGTGCTTAATTTCCGCTGCAGCGCGCACATTTGACAGCACGTACGCTGACTTATGTGGATGAGTGTAAAAGGTTTTTCCTATTTATTTGATACGCTGTAAATGTTTGTTAGATCGGGTTAGATAAGGGCGTAAATTAATTTGTGAAAGTGTAAGGGCTAACATTGTGAGAGCATATAAAGCAGGGAGTGGTTTGATCAGCAGAGAAGAGTTGAGTGCATCTGGATAAGCCGTCTGTCTAGACCTTTATAAGTGCAGGTAAGATTCAGTCTTGAATACGAAGGAAATTTAAAATTTGAGAACATTGAAAGCTTATTGGTATGAAGAGTTACTGTAGCAGAAAATATATGCTCTGACAGTCTGCATAGATTAGTTTGTATCTCAACTAACATGAAAAGTTAACAAAACTAATAAAGAGATAGTAAAAATGCAGATAAAAAGTTGAGATACTTTATGTATTGATTTATGTACGAATAGATAGACACCAAATAAATATCTAGATATATTATCTAGATATTTATTTGGTGTCTATATTTTATAATATATATATAATATATATTATCTAGATATTTATTTGGCGTCTATCTATTCTTTTGTTGACATAAGTCGTCTATGGAAATATGAGAATTCTTAAGATTCAGGTAAAATATGATATGATCAATATGAACATAGATAGCACTTGATGTATATGAGGTCTTTTTGTGAGTATAGCTAAGATTGTATTTGAGATAGGGGAAAGATTTAAGAAGCGTATGTAATAGGAATATGCTTGATTAGTAGGAAAATATTAAGTCAATCTAAAAGTTAATTATCTACTAGTGAAGATCACAACGTACTTCAGATGAATAGAGTTTAAGAAAAATTAAAATGAATATATATAAATAAATATATTATTATTGCGTACTCGGATAAAATGCTGTTCATAAAAATAGTAGTGCCAGTTTGAAAAAATTTTTAATTACAGTAAATTTAATTAAAGGTATAAAGAGTAAGTGTAATTACTTATATTATATAAAATTGATTGGAATTACAATATTATTTTTACGCTGCTGTTCATTTTTAGAAACATAGTTATATACATATATACCTAGGCATGCTTAAAGAGAGAGCACAGAACTTTTACAGTGTAAAGAACGGCGCACAAAGAGAGTTAAAGTGCTGCTCCGCTGTTAACAGGGCATACCTTAGTCGAGCAACTAAGACACTTGAGCGTTTCCACTTGCCCTTTTTAATGTAATTATATATGTTTTGGCCATATTTTCAGATTGCGTACATGTTCTTTCTGATAATGTTCTCATTTACGGTGCTAGTCAAAATGGGTCCGATGCCGCGCTGGCAGGAATGGTATTCGATAGCTTATATAACGACATTGGGATTTGAGAAGGTGCGCGAAATCGTTTCATCCGAGCCGGTGGCCATTACGTAAGTAAAGTAATTCGCAAATTGAATTTAAGCCAATGTGTGCGTGTGTGTATGTGTGTGTGTCTGTGAGAGTGTGTTTAATTGCATTTAATTTAATGATTATAAATGAGTGCTGCGCATACTTTATGCCTCTGTGCATTTTGATTACTTGCCTTTTTCTTCTTCTTTCTATCTATATCCTGTGTGTGTGCGTGTGTGATTTCCTTCAGAGTTTATTCACACTTGATTTACGGCTTTCGATTTCTGTGGCGTCCTTCATTAATGCGATTCTGTTGCGGCCTGGCTTCATTTGCCTCATTGTTGTTATTGCAGGCATAAATTCTCGGTGTGGGCGTGGAACATGTGGAATCCGTGCGATGGCGCAGCCATAATACTCTTCCTCATCGGCCTGGCCTTTCGCTTTCGCCCCAACACGATGGACATTGGGCGAGTCATTTACTGCGTGGACAGCATCTACTGGTATTTGCGCATATTGAACATTCTTGGCGTCAACAAGTATTTGGGTAAGTAATCAGCTTCATCTATATATGCTCATAGGCTATATGGCCCTCTTCTGCTCCAAAGGTCCTTTGGTCACCATGATGGGCAAAATGGTTAAGAATATGATATATTTTGTTGTGCTATTGGCTGTGGTCCTCATGAGCTTTGGCGTCAGTCGCCAGGCAATACTCTATCCCAACAATGAGCCCACTTGGCGGCTGATTAGAGAGGTAAGCCAAGATTTTACTAAGTCCAGTGTATATAGATATAAATAGTTGAATGTGTGTGTATGTGTGGAAAGTTATTCAAGTTAATTTAAATACCCTTGCAAAACGCTTTAATTATTAGCTAAGTATGAGTTGAAGAAGTTATATTTATATATATGTATATATAGTTTATCAGCAGCTAAAGTCAGCTTGTTTTTTCATGTCACAAAACAAGCCCCAATTTGAACTATTCAAAAATATTATTACACACTGAAATATGAAGAAAAATATTCTTGTTTCAGCTATGCAAATCTTAAGAGATTTCGGAAACTGTTTAAAATTTTGCATAAATAAGTCTAGGAGCAATAAGAAATTATTGTCACAATTTAATAATTTCAATTTTTGGCGCAATTTCAAAATAATTATTTTTGAATCACAAAAAAAATTTCTTAAAGAATTAATAAATTTTTTTTGGTTAAGATTTTTTTTCTTTAAAAAAACGTAGTTGATAACCAAAAAATAATTAATTAATTAAAAATAATATATATATATATATATATATATATATATATATATATATTATATATATTATATATATATATCTATATATATATATATATCTATTATCTATATTTATATATCTATATATATATATCTATATATATATCTATATATATATCTATATATATATATATATATATATATATATACATAAACTATTATAAAATATTAACCTTTACACAAGTTCAATTTATAAATATAAATATACAATTAACTTTCAATTCTGCAAGGGTATTTAATACTTCGGCCGAATCTGTTCTCCGACGTTGTTTACAAAATTTTTAAAAAATGTTTACAGACGTGTAAATAATAATTCTTTAGCTGAAAACAAAAAAAAATCGTAAAAAAGCTGTTCATGCTAATTAATTATGTCTGTCTGTGTGAGTGACTGTGTCTGTGTCGCTGTAAGTGCGTGTGAGTGTGTGTGTCTTAAACAAATAATAACATTTATGTACGTATACAGAGCGAGAATCATTTTTATATATATGCTCAATGTACACTGACAATTTTTACAATTGCAGCGCTTGTGAATTGTGTATTTATTGAGAGAAACGGAGTACATGCATTTACTTAAACTTAAATAAAACTTCAAACAAATATTTATGATAACACTTATAAAAATAACAATAGTAAAACGTTTTATTCAAACTCAATTAACAGTAGCTATGAGAAATATTCGTACTTAAGTAGAGCTTCACAGCGAGTTTTTTGATTTACTTGTTTGACTAAGTAGTTATCATGCGAGCGATACTCGCCGCTCGCTAATCGATATTCGATTGACTAACTGCTCTCTTTCTTCATTGTGTCTTGTATTATTGTATTTCTTCATACTTTCGTGCTCATTCTACTTGCCCACTCTTCACTGTTCACTGTTCACTGTTCACTGTTCACTCTTCACCTTTCACTTTGTTGCCATTCCATGCTCTATTCTCACCCACACATACTTCGCCTTACGCATTTTGATTTGGTTTTACATATATATAAATATGTATATGCGCCATGAATTGGCCAGGTTATTGCTGGCTCAATCTTTGCGCCTGGATTTCAAGGCGCTCTCGGCCATAATAGTCGTTCGCATAACACACGCATAGCTGGCTTTGGACCTAGTGCATTTGCAGCTGCACATCATCGCGGTCATGCAGCAGCAGCAGCGGCAGCGGCAGCAGCAGCAGCAGCAGCCAGTACAACAACAACAACCACAACAACGATGCCGCCCACTGTGACGCCCCCAACAACAGCAACAACGACAACAGCAGCTGAAACAGAATCAAGCGAAAGTCACGAGTTGCCAAGTTTCTTAAGCGGAAATCACACAAATGTATCTACAATTGGTTTGCTATATAGTGAAAAAAAGTGTTTAGCAGTTGATCCTAGCTGGCGTCCTTGTGTGATATATTGATATATGATATATATATATATATTGGCAAGCTGTCTATCTAGTTGTTGTTGTGCCTCAAAACCAAAAAAAAAAAAGAAAAACAAAAACATTTTCGTTTTTTTTATTGTGCAAAAGATACTTTTTGTCTTAATTGGTTTCTTATCAATTTACTTGCTTATATTTCATTATATAATATAATATATCGATGTTGTTTCAAATAAACCCGCAAAATAGATATTTCCCATGATCTCTCTCTCTCTCTCTTCTCTCTTCTCTCTTCTCTCTCTCTCTCTCTCTCTCTCTTTGTCTGCCTCTGTCTCCCGCGTTGGTTCTTTGACCCTCGAGTCTTCCTTTGTTTCCTGCTCGCCGACTACGTTGTTATCTTTTCATTTTATATCATATGCTCATTTTAATTATATTAAGTATACGCCATGCATGTTTAACAGAAAAAAAGACAATACAAAATAAAGCAATTTAAGTATTTGCATCTGAGAAGTAAATGTGTGTACTCAGTTTCAAGTTTGTCAATAATTTTTTAGTCATTTATAAATTCCATTTGAATATCTTTTATTAATATTTAATATTTTGGCATGCTTCATTTCGTTGCATGCGCATTGCTTGCGCTGTTTGAACAATGTCAAACGTCTTTTATTCACACAAACACGAAACAGTCCCCTGCCCTGCCCCACTCTACCCCTCCCTCTATATCGAGTGCACCTCCTGCAGCATGGCTGCTGCATTGTGTGCAGTTCAAGTTCGCAAAATGCATTCAGTCAAGCAGTTGAGGCTGTCGCACTGCTGTCCTTAGACTTTTTTGATACACTGTAAACACTCTTCGCAGCAATTTGCATGCAATATGCAAATGTTTAACACAGTCAAAGTGTATTGTGTACATCATGTCCTAGCATGTTTCTGACGCCTTTTTATAGCATAGCCGTTAGCTGGGAAATGCGCGAGGGGCAGATTCAAGAGGGGAAATGCTTAAAGATATGGCAAGAGCATCAATGTTGCAGGTGCAGAAGCAGATGCAGTTAAAGATAGAGCTCAATATAAAGATATAGATGCTGCAACAGCTTGAGCTATGCAGATACAGATAGATATAGATATAGATAGAGATATAGATATAGATACAGAAATAGATACAGCTACAGACACAGCTAATAAAAATTACATCACACAAAGTCAGTTTCATTTAAAGCGTTTAAAGCTAAGTAACAATTTTAGAAATACCTTTGCTCTCGCCTTGATTCCATTTTTTAATGAGAATTCGAATCTCTGTTGGGTTCAAATATATTGAAAGCCATAAAATTGAAATTGAAAATCATCCACTGGCTGCTGTGTGCAATAATGTAAACAGCAAACTGTCCACGTTTAATTAATCAAAATCTATCACAAAATGTTCAGGCTTCGAGTTAGGTAGATGCCGACACCTCTCCCCTGCAGCTTTGGACTGCCTGTCACACCTTGTGCCTCAGTTTAATCGCATAGCCATTAACCCGGCAAATGCTAATGAAATGGTGGCAGTGCCTTTAATGAACAGACGCCCAACTACAGTAGACTACAGTAGCATGCTGTTAAAACTAAAGGCAAAATGCACAGTAAACACACACATACACACACACATCCAACATACACACATATACACATATATATATATATATTATAGCCACTGTCTGTGTTGATGTGTAAAACTTGCATAAATGTTGACCCAGTCGGGAACGAGCTGTCGGCTCGTCTCCCAAATTGAATTAAGCTTGGTCATTTTTTTGTTGTTGTTGCTGGCGTTTAATGAGAAACCCTCTTTTCCCCTCTTCTTCTTCTATTTGCTTTTCTTCTCTTTTTTTAATTTAACGTTGCTCAGGTCACCTATCAGCCGTACTTCATGTTGTACGGCGAGGTCTTTGCCGATGACATTGATCCGCCCTGCGGCGAGGATCCGCGTCAGCCCGCCTGCGTTACAGGTAAGCTAAGCATATATATATATATATATATTTCTACCATATTATTATACTGAATGTTATTTACAGGTCATTGGGTAACGCCTATAACAATGTCCATGTATCTATTGATTGCCAATATATTGCTAATCAATCTGCTCATAGCCGTCTTCAATAATATATTCAACGAAGTCAATTCGGTTTCACATCAGGTAAGCACATTACTGAGCGGTTTATTTAAGTATATTTCATTTAATTAAATATATTTAATATGTTATAATAGTTTTTACTAAGGGAATTATTGAGAGAAGAGGCGTTGCCACCTGGTTGCAAATCTTTTTGTCAAGTTGTTAGGCAAACTACTCCAAGTGGTTTTAGCTGACTTTAAACAATGGCAATGGGTTTAACTACTTTAAGTTAAGCAGTCTCTTATGTTGCGTAGCGTTGCCACCTGGTTGCAATTCAAGTTGTTTAGCTGTACAAGCGATAAGCTGACTTGAAGCAATTGTAATGTGATTAAGAACTTAAAGTTGGGAGCAAAAAAGCTAAGCATTATTTGGCTTTGTGCTTTGCCAGCTGCAAGCGTTGCCACCTAGCTGTATAGCGCGTTGTTAAGCCACTAAGCCAACTCCTTTTAACTTTAAACAATGAAAATAGCCAGAAACTTGTTTTTACTATTAACACACACACTCTCTCTCTCTCTCTCTCTCTCTCTGCCTTTTCCCTGCAGGTGTGGATGTTTCAGAGATTCACAGTGGTCATGGAGTATCAACAGAAGCCGGTGCTGCCGCCGCCTTTTATCGCCTTCTGCCATTTCTATTCGCTGCTCAAGTATTGCGTGCGTAAAGCGAAAGGTGAGCCCGGCATGAGCAAGTTTAGCTTTGTTCCCTGTGAGTGAAAAACAATCGGAGCGTGCCCCAATTGAATGAGAATAATGTACAAATCTCTATATCTTTTTACCCTGCTGCCGCATTGCTGTGTTCCGTCTACTACAACTGCTCTATTGTATATATATATATATATCTATTTATATGCGATTTCTATATAACTACTTTACTTATCATTATTATTCTGCTTGGTCCATCGAAATAATTGAATTGAATTGTGTTTGTTTGTGGCCGTCGATAGGATTGGAGGTGCAGCGGGACAATGGTCTCAAGCTGTTTCTCGAAAAGGACGATCTGGAGCGACTTTACGACTTTGAGGAGGAGTGCGTCGAGGGCTTCTTCCATGAGCAGGAAATCATATTGAATCAGTCGACCGACGAGCGCGTCAAGAACACAACGGAGCGCGTCGAGACCATGTCACAGAAAATCGAGGACATCAATCAAAAGGAGAACATACAAACGGCTACAGTACAGGTGTGTAACACACACACACACACACACACAGCGTTAAGCCCACTTTTTAGTTTTTTGTTATGCAAATTCACAATTTTCTTTCTTACACATTGATTTGGGTTTTATGCGCATTGACAGCCAAGCGAGCAGAGGGAGCAGTTGAAGCCTGAGCAGCTTCAGCCGCAACGTTTAAATTGAAAATGTCCATAAATGTGTAGACGTACGAGGGTCACCTCAACATATATATAAATTATTGACAGTCTGCTAAGCACGTTCTTATGACAACAAATGCATGAACGAGACTTGGGTTTGTTGAGTTTTTCTAAATGTTTTTAGCAGCATTTCAAGTATTCATAAAGTAGACAATACCTGGGATGGAAGCAATCAAGAAGATATGAAGTTAAAATATAAGAACAAGAATATGAGATAATGAAAATAAGAACTAAAGCAAAGAATTCCGAAGAAAAGAGAAGAAAAAAACTGAAGAAATCAGATGCGAGACTAAACGATAAAAGGATGAGAAGATCCTAAAAGTTGGTGAAGGAATCAAGTTATTTTTTCGTTCCTGAACGATGTTAGTGGTAAATTATATAAGCTCATTCTCTGACCAACTTGATACAACCTTTCATATATAAACATTTCTGCAACTCAGTTAAACGATTTGGTTCATAAACAGCTCAACAAATCAATACAACGACCCGTGCTATAGCTTGAATTCTTCATAAACAGTGAGCGAATCCAATTACCAATGGCATAACTGAGCAAAGACTATTAAAAAAGAATCGGTAGTTCAATTTATGAACCAGTTCAATTGAACTAGTTCCTTACAAACATATATCTTTTGTTCTTAATCTATTGAATAACTCAGCAAAGATAATTAATAATAACTGGGTGAGCTCTTGCATTCACTAAACCCAAAAAATGGAACCAGTAGTTCATTTGCATAACTAGTTCAATGTATCAAATATCATTATTAATAATTATGTTAGGTATTTTGTTAAGTGATTCCAAAAAAGAACCACTAGTTCATTTTATGAACCAGTTCAATTGAACTTGTTCCTTACAAACATATTTCTTTCGTTTCTAATCTATTGAACAACTAAGCAAAGATAATATATAATAACTGAGTGAACTCTTGCATTCACTAATCCCAAAAAATGGAACCAGTAGTTCATTTGAATAACTAGTTCAATTGATCAAATATCATTATTAATAATTATGTTAGGTATTTTGTTAAGTGATTCCAAAAAAGAACCACTAGTTCATTTTAGGAACCAGTTCAATTGAACTCGTTGCTCACAATTACTATTACTTTTCCTCATCCAACGCTGCCTTCAACCCTTTGCACCTGCATCAAATTCGATTCGCATTAGTTGCTTGCTCAACTTATGAAGCAACCCTCTCCCAAGTGTCAGCTGCTGTTCATTTGTATGCTGCTTCGACAGCCAGGACATATGACATCAAGCTGTACTTCTCTTCAGCTCTTCTCTTTTATTGCAATTGTTACATTGTTGTTCATATTGGGTATCTGTTCGTGTGTTTGTTTGCAGAACATTGAATTCCGTTTGCGCAAAATGGAGGAATCATCGGAGCAGATATTGTCGCACCTGGGCGTCATACATCGCTTCATGTCCGCACATACCACCGGCAATGAGGAGCTGCTGCGCGGCTCTGTGATGAACATTCCAGGTGAGATGCATCGCATGCGCACCATCTCAATGTCCGACAATGAGGGCAGTGGAGGAGCTGGAGGCGGAGGCGGAGGCGGAGGCAGCGGCGGAGGAGGCGGAGGTGGAGGTGGGGGAGGAGCTGCTGGAATTGCTGCGTCATTGGGCCTGGGCGCCGCACTCACTTTAAATTCACTACAGGTGCGTCTCAGTTGAATGCCTGCCGTTCACCTTAAACCTGTTGCCAATTGTTTTTTTTTTTTTGCTTTGCACCTGACCAGGTGAACAATCGACGGCGCTTTAATCGCTCGCTGACCGAAGTGCGACCGGATGCGTACATCTTGGATGAGGGCACACACTTTGAGGTGGTGCCGCTGCCCGAGGAACCCGACGAAGTGGCCAAGTCCCGCGAGGCGCTCAACGAGCAGATGGTGCGCAAAGCCTCCATGCAATCGGAGGCTGACTCCGATATTTATTTACCCCTGTCGCAACGTCCATCCACCTGTGACACGGTCAAGCGGACGCCGTACGTTACCGTGCGTCAGGATACGGGCGCCAGCACCGAGAGCAAGGATACCCTCACACCCATGGGCAACAACGACGATGATCAGACTCTCGTAGGTGGCGACAATTCCGACGATGCAGCGCCGGACATGACATTCGAGGGTAATGCGAATTGGCCATAAAGCCATAACTCTGTCCGGCTTTTAAACCAACTTCTTCCACTTCTGCTTCCATGTTACGTTACTTTTTCACTACTTCTGTATGCGTTTTCGTTTGGTACTTACCTTTCTCTTTATTTCCGTTTCGCTTAAGTTTTGTGTCTCAACTTGATATTTCGATTGATCTAACATATTTCGTCGCCTTCTTCAGCTGCCAGACATCGCGCTCTGCGTCAGCGCACCGTCTCGCTCTGTCGCCGCAATTCGGAGACGTATTCCCTAGCTGGCGCCGACATCAATCGCTCGCACATCAGCCTCAATCAGTTGACAACGCTCTCGCGTCGCCAGATGAGTCTCACGCACTCCGAGCCGGATAGCGATAAGGATGTGCCTCCAGTGCCACAGTCGGGTATGTTTAGTTCAGTTGTTGGCTGTTGTTCGCTGTAAACGAGTTAGACTGTAAGCGTTAAATGCAAACAATGCGCGCGCTCCTAAATTTGATGCCTTTAACTAATAACAAATTCATGAGGACGACTTCTAATCCAAACTAAAACATTAACTTCGACCAATCCAAGCTACCTAAATTGGCCAACATAATTTCGACTTAACCCACAAGAGCATATAATCTCGTTGATGTTGTTGTAGTTGTTGTTGTTGTTGTTGTTGTTGTGATGCATATACAGTGAAAACTCTAGGCAGTGAACAATGAAAGTTCCTTTGCGTGTTGATAAAGATGTTTGATGAAGAGAATTGCCAGGGAGATGAGAGGAAGAATAAACGATTTTAATTAGCTGCAGAATATTCAATGTGATATATATATATAATATAATATAATATAATATATATGAGTAGTAGTATAAAGTGTACTTATATCAATCGTATTTGATGTCCGATGTACGAAATTTCTTTTGTTGAGCAGACGAGATGCAATTCCTAGTGGCTTTCAAATTTTAAGCTAGAGTTTGTAGGCATTATAATATAGTAGCTTGACTAGATTATAATGGGGCAGTAAATATTATCCTGATAGATTTATATTTTCTATCAATAGTTTCTTTAATTTAGTCAAGTTCAATCTAGGTCTTATCAATGTCCGCAAGTTCGCTGTTTATGCGAATATGATCTTAATATAAAAAGCCCCAATCGGAAATAGACTATAAAAATAATCTTAATAAATTAGACTTCTATCTATATATATTCTATAGTATATTTAATTCAGTCTCTTCCTAGATATCCGTATCAAATATCTAATCATATAGTCTTAAGATTGATAAATATTTGTCAGGCAGATGAAGTGAAATTTAAATTGAGAAAATAAGCAAGTTGTTCCCAAGATTTAGCCAGCAGTACGTTAAAATGTATTTGTGTCGTGTTTAGGGAGGCTACAATGTACAAGAGATATACGTGTGCGGCTATGAAATATTTATAGGCAGTCATGGACTCCGTTTGTCAGCAGAGTTTTCACTGTAACACACGCTCATGCTCACTCTCTCTCTCTTGTTGACTCTCGACACACATACGCATACATAAACACCAACACCAACACCAACAGACACACACACTCGTATTTTGATCTCTGACGCATTCTCAAAAAATACCTAACCTCGAACTCTAGGTAAATCAGTATTGCATGCGAAACCCTCCAGAAATATATTGCTGAAACTGCACAGTGAATATACATCCATAACGGACGAGCTGGAGAGCGTTTGCCATTTGATTGCCTCGCCGACCGTCTCGCTGCAGAGCAACAAAGGTAAGTTGGCGTTGCTCCGATCTCCGATCTCCGATCTCCATCCAAACTCCCACATCCGATTGGCCCACATGAAAAGAAACTAAAAGCGAAAGCACTCAAAATCCCCAAAATTATGTAATCTGTTTATTTGCTAACCGGGCGTATGCGTAATATTCATTTGCCTTGTGCTTGCCAGCCAATCAAAGAGATCCCAAAAACAATACCTAAGCCTGCGCCTGCGCCTGCACCTGCCTCAGTTTCCATACGAAATCTTTGCTCATTAAACCTTTGGACATTTCACAGCTTCTCTGGATCGTCCCAAGACTGAGATGTCGCGTGCAGAGGCTGCTGCTTTGCAGGAGAAGAAACACTTGAAGGAGTGCGAGGAGAATGACTACAGAATATTGGAGGGTCTCTTTGAGGCACGTGGCTCCATCGATGCCAGTGTGCCATCCTATGAGGTAGGTGCTCCCTGATTGATCTCATTTGATATATGCTTCAAGTCTTCTTCTCTTCATCTTCTCAGATTGGCGTCTCTGTGGACTATAGTCATCGCTATCCGCTGCGCCGGGAGACAGCCATTGAGCTGTCGCCCTCCAAGCCAGCGGCTGAGGGAGGCGCCATTGGCGCCGTCATTGCGGGCGATAGCAGCGACACGAGCGGTGCGGCGAGCAGCGGATTTCAGCTGAAACACGAACGTCCCTGGCAGCGCAACTCGTCCATGGAACAGCAGAGTTATCAGTCGCCGCTGGTGCCGACGCGTGCCACAAGCGATTTCCTAAATCCACCCTACGACAGCAGCGGGCGGCTGTTCAAGAAGTCCAGCGAGAGCTTGCAAAAGAATTCCAGCACAGACACGGACTACTCGGCGCATCCGTATCGCTTCATCAAGCAGAGCTCCAATGAGACAAATACCTCTTTGACCGGCTCCTACAATGTGGACACGCCTTCGCTGACCGCGGAGCCCAGTTTGGATGCCGGCGATTCGCATTCGGCAACGGGCATTAGCGTGAGCGTTGGCGCTGCTGGCGGCGCTGCGCAGGCGCGTTATCAACCCAAGCGTACGGCGTCCGTTGGCGCTGCCGATGGCAGACGTCTAAGGGACGACAGTTCCAGCTCGCTAGATCTGACGCAGGCAGCGCCAGCATTGCCAACGCGTCCCATGCAGTTGAAGAAACAGTTTAGCATGGACCAGGGCAAGCCCTTGTCTGCGCAAGCAAGCGCCGAGGCGAGCAGCATAGAGGCAACATCAACGGCTGCCGCTGCTGGTGCTGGTGCTGCTGCAGCTGCTCCGGTTGCTGCCAAACTGATTTCAACGCTGAAGCCACCCTATACCAGCAAGCTGGGCATGAATGTGCTCAAGGAGAGTAGCTCCAGCACCGAAGAGTCACGCGATGGCGAACCCGTCTCGGCGACCACCTCCTCTTCGGCCAAGAGCAGCAGCACAGGCCTGGCCATACCACAGATAAGCACGCACCTGGTGCAGGACGAGATAGCAAAACTCTCCTCCAATATCAAGAGCAGCACTGAGTCAGAAAAGGATCCGCCATATAACGAAACAATGTGTTAACTAACTGTACATATATATATATAAACAATATCTATCTGTAAGCAATAGAGCAAAGTATCTGTATCTGTCTGTTAGTCTATCTGTATCTGTTAGTGAGTGAAAGCGGGCGGCATGAAGTGCGAAGAGGATTCGCCATTTAGCGAAACAATGTGTTAACTAGCTGTATATATATATATATATCCATACATCTATCTATCTGTAAGCAAAGTATCTGTATCTGTGTCTTTAAAAGTATCTTTATCTATATGTCTGTTAGTAATTGAATCCACCTTGTGCTCAATAAGCGTTGCTAGTCAACGATTACCAACAAAATTTTGAAGAGTAATACAAACTATATATACTTAGATATATATATAACTGATAGATAGAGCGCATATCAAGCTTATATATATATATACAGAAATTCACACTTGTCCAGGTGGAATGCAGAAGCAAATTTCAATGATTTTTGACAATACATAACACACAGATTCTCTGTATTTTTATATCAAATGTATTTATTTACACAGTTGTCAGTTTTTATTGTTGTTAATTAATGTACAAAAGAAGAAGAAGAAGAAGAAGATAGGAAAGTGAGGAACTGGAATAGCAAATCAAAATGCATGCATTTCACATACAACTCAAGCGCATATTATATATGTATAACTGTTTTATCTGTTTATAAACTCTATCTAACTGTTATTTAACTAAAATCGAAAAGAAACTAAAAATACGATTAGCTATAGTTCCAAAAGCATATGAAATGTCACCTGCAATTTCACATATCCAAACAAACAACATACCTACGAAACTTATCTAAGAAGCAAACGCTAAACTCTATAAAAAGAGATATATAAACACTTAAAGCAACTTGTTGTACTTATGCATTGCCTATATATATGTTATATATATATACATCTATATATCTCTACTGTTATCTCCTGCAACTTCTATATCAAATTTATATATATATGAGTGTCTGTGTATTATATAGTTAGCTAGTCCATTTTACTTTATTTATGTATGTGAGCATGTGTGTGTGTATGTTTAGCTAAATATTCTAGCCAGAAAACAATTTGTATATACATATATATAGATATTTTTTCAACAAAAGGAACTTGTTAACGTTTTGCTTCGTGTTAAATGCGTTTGTCATAATTAGTTTATAACTATTATTGCATTTTACTAGAGTTAAAAAAAAGAAATGAAAAAAACCGAAAACAATGTACTTATTGATTTTAAGAAAATTAAATTTAATTATATATCTATATATAAAAAGTGTTTTTAGTATGAGGAATTGTACACTTTTTCCATTTACAGCCATTCCCAGCAGTAGGCAAACCACTCTCAGTACTTCTTAGTTCCCTCCAAATGTCGTTGTTCATACCATACCAACCACAGGATCCTGATTAAGTAAATCCAAATAAGAATTCTATCATATCCTGGCCAAACAAGATCTGTATTCTTAGATAACCCCTTTATAATTTGATGAGGATCGATGGTATTCGTCCTTACGATCTTAACGCAACAGGTCCTGCGAAAATACGTAAGGATTTCGCCGAACTAGAGCTATTTTTCTTACAAAGGATATTCTTTATATAGCCATAACTGAGCCATATCCTTAAGGATCCTCAAAGGATATGTATTTTTCAACAGTCAGCAGTCATATCTATCGATTGGCATTCAAGGATTTTCAGAATTCCAAAAAAATTTTTCCTCAAATTTTTGCAAGGGATATGGTCGAAAAATGGCCGAAAAAGCCAAAACTCGAGGTTATCTTGGCCATTTGAAGGACAATTGAAATGTCCTTTGGACTCAAGGAAGCCCACGGCCTCCTCAAAAGGAATTAACATTTAAAAGAACGAAAGTCCTTCAATTGACTGAGTTATAAGGACTTCTTTTTTGTACAATAAAGCGCTTATTAATTGCTTGTATCCTGGCGTATCCTGGAAAATCTAATATCAAACTGATTGGGGTCACAAGGACTACCAACTGGCTAACTGACAAACAGGGTATTATGTCAAGGAGCGTCACCTAAGCTCAAAAACTCGAGATATTCCTTGTGACTTATAATTTATTCAACATTTCGTGCTATTATTCGCATGTCGTCTAAAATATTACAAGTGCTGAATTCTTAGATGACCCCATGATACTTTGATGATGACCAATGCGGGTTGTGGTCATTGTTCCAATGAAACACGCCCTTTCGTTCTGCCCAAGGATTTGGCCGAATTTGAGCTATTTTTCTATATTAAATGTGCAGCGCGAAAGTATGCAATCATTTTACGAAACACATGAAATGCACTGCTTGCACAGGCAGCGAAACACCAAGCAGTGCATTTTTAACGACATGCACGACAAATTGCTGACAGTTACGATACTGTAACATCCATACATTTCACTCCTCTGATAAGTAGCCACACATATCGCACCAAAATATATAATAGCCCATTTTGATTAGTTTTAGTCATATCTTTTACAGTTCCTACAAAAATTGTTTATTTAAAATGAATTTAATTAATTAACTTAACTTTCTAGCGTATTGTAAAAAACAAATCAAGTTTCAGAACTCTTCAACTGTTTAACTTAAAGCAAAACAATTAGTTAATACTTTCCTCACTTAAATTTTAGCCTATTTTTCTTCGTCGTTTTCAGTTATTTTTTCGTTTTCTTTCATTTACATTGTTTATAAAATCTGTAAGTCTTTTACGTTGCCATCGTAGCTTAAAAACTAAACAGTTATCTTTTCTTTTAGTAATATTTTATAAATATTTACAAATAATGGCAATATGGCTTGACTTTTCTGTGCCTCAAGCTCAGCTCTATATAAATAACATTATCTCAACTAACTTTCCAAAAAATTCCAACAATATCCACAAGAACATTCTATGCTTCGCGGCTTACAACTTGCACTAGGTTTTAGTTATATAGATACAATATCTATATATAGATATTTCAATCTTCACATATTCCTCTGTAGATTACTTGATCTAGAACACACCTGTTCGTTTATCCTTAACTTTTTTTGTTTTTGGTATTAACCAACTGTCCGTTGGTATCGATGCTACTTTTCATTTGTCGTAATGTGATGTACTTGTCTAAGGCTTAGCAATATGGATCACAATTTTTTGAGCTTAGTTATTGCCACTGTTAAGGTTCTCCGCTTCCGGCTCCACGGCGCCTTGATGCACCAGCTTATCCAGTTCCTCCTTCGTTGAACGATTAAAGAAGCCCGCCTGAAAAAAGAGAAACAGGGTACTTTATACCATGCCATTTGCATTCGGTTTTTTAGCTACTCTACCTTATACATGCCATAGGTAATGGCAGCCAGCAGCAAGAGGCCACCCAGTATGGAGAGAATCCATACCCAGATGGGCAGACTTTTTACCAGATGCTTCGATATGACATTTGGATCAATTTTGCGCCTAATCAGAAGCGAGCTGCCCGTTGGATCGCCCTCTTTGCGCACATTCAAATCGATGAGTATGGCAAAGAACTCCCAGGGATCGATGAGAATTGCATTCACCTCGTTCAGATCGACGCTGTAGCGCATATTCAAATTGATTGGCTTCTCTGGCTTGAAATTGTAAACGCGCATCACAGCCCGCAGGCAGATGGTCATCGTTGGATCCCGACAATTGAAGACAATGGTGCGATTCACTGGCAACTTGCCCTTGAAGTCCTCGCTGAGCAGTTCATGCGCCTTGACGTTCGAAATGCGCGCATATTGCTCTCGATTGGCAGTCAAAGCTTTCAAATCACGTCGCTTACGCGTCATGGACGCTGTAGCCACTGCATCCGAGTCCAACTCCTGCCAGCTCTGCTCCGTATGCCCACTGCTGCTGACATCATACTGCGCACCGTTCTGGCTAACGACGACACGCTCTTTGTGCTCACTCGTGCGTGTTGTTGAGATCTCAACGGCGTTCATAATAATCTGTGTGTTGTTCGGATCGAGCAGCTCAATGGAAACCAGCTGCGAATCGTATGTAGCCTGCATGGTTATGTTGCTCACATTGATGATGGGTATGGTGGCTGTGGAGCCAGCTATCTTATAGGCAACTGGAATATGGAAGACGAGCTCCAGGCCATCCACATTGCTGGGCCCATTGCTCTTGATTTCATAGTTGTTGACAATTACGGCAGAGTTCTTATAGTGCTCCAGATTGATAGCTTCATTGGTCTGACCACTGAGGAGATTCACAGGATTAGCATAGACTTAATATATAAATTGTTGTTGAGTCTTACCCGGATGCGTCGATTTCGGTGTACTCCTTGAGTGCAATCAGGCTGCTTAGCTTATTATCATTGGGGTTTAGCTCGTGACCAGTACTAAAGACCTCGGCGTTGATAGTCAGGGCACTGCCCGTCAGACTGCTCACATCGAAGCTGATGGTAATACTATCCTTATCGCCCTTGCCCAACGGTCTGCCTTTATTCAAATCACAGACCATGACCGCCTCGCTGACCTTGCAGTTGCCAGGTATTTGGGCAAAGTTCAAGCGACTCGAGCTCGTGACATTCAACTGTGGCAAATAAGCAGTTTCTCCATTGTTGGTCACCTCATAATTGATGCGTAGTGTCTTGCCACTGCCCAGAATATAACTCGAGCTGTTGGAACAGAAAATAGTTAAACAACTGACCTTTAACTGTTATTCAATCTTGTTTCTGACTTACCTCAAGTCCTTGGCAGTCAGCTTCAGATCGGCTATGCAAACATCTGTGGCACAGCCCGTGCTGAAGATGATTTTCTCTGTGTAGACCTTTGGATCATCGGGATCCACAGCCACACAAGTGTCACAGAATACTGAAAGGGAAGCAACAGGAGTTGGTGTTAGGCAAGTGATGTTTCGATATACTCATTTACTCTTCTACTCACCCTCGGAGTCTGGCACCTTCTTTGTCAGATCGTAGTGCATCTCCAGCTCAATCGGCTGGAATATATCCTTTTCGCTGTAGCGCACCTCGCAGTCAAAGACGCGACACTGTTGTGTGGTGCCCGCTGTGGCATTGAAGCTCAGCTCACTGGATTGAGATTGAGTAAATGTTGCACGCTTCAACTGTGCATCGATCACAATTTTCATGGCAATTTCCTGCTGCTGGGCCGAGCTGCCCTTGGCTGTTGTGGAGAGGCCATAGCAGGCCGTGATTTGAACACGAGTCTGATCTGGTTTGATTTCACGATTCTGAGAGCGAACGGTGGCCAAGATCTTGACCACTGGATACGCGCGATAGAGGAAGACGGCCTCGGCGTTAGGCGCACCCACGACAAAGTCGTTGAAGCCATTCCCGTCGATGTCGGAGCCACGCGAAAGGCCATGTCCGAACATGTGCTGGCCATACTTGGAAGGCTGCTGCTGTGGCGAGTCCAAGCGCTGACTGGGCTTATCCCGCAGACCCGTCTCGCTACCCAGATATATAAAGACAGATCCATTGCCCGCAAATGGAGCACCGACAGCAATGTCTGAAAGAGAAGAGGGCACGAATTAGTGAGACTGACAAAGCAGATGTAGAAGAAGCAATGGCATATAGATAAAGGAATTGATGCTGGAGATGAACTACGCTGCATAGTTGATCTCTGCTAATGAACTGATATAACAATTAGTATAAAGACCTTACTGATCTATACAGTCTAATGTAACAGTCTCTCTAAAGCCTCCGAGTCGAGTCTACTATAAGTCTTGAATCTAATAAAACATGGAAACTAATAAAACAAGTTTTTTACAAAGGAATTTCTATTAATTAATCATATTACAAAACACAGAGTTGATTCACTTGTTGGAAAAGTGAAAAAAGAGACTTGAAAGACTGATTGACAGATGACTACTAATCAAAGTCAAGAGTATATATGAGTGTGTAAATATACTACATATAATATATATACTATATATAAAAAGCTCATACATTATATAAACTAAAGAAAAATAAGTCAGAATGCTCTAGTTAGGAGTGCCCGACTAGGAGGAAGCTTCTCTTCCAGGCATTCTACACACATGCAGGCTGGGGCTGCAGTATGGTCTTTGCTATGGCAACTTAATACTTGAGACCCAACTGCGTCTGTTTTCCAAAGCAGAACTCGTATGTTCTGCATGTTGTATATATTTACATAGAACCAATATACAAAAAATCCACATTTTAAATGTTTTCAGGCTGACTCACAATATATTGTGTTTCCATTTTAGAATATCTGTGAATTTCTAACTGCTACGAGACAATTGCTAAGTACTGTCAAGTTATCTATGTAGCATAGTGTAGTAGCTCTAGCAAGTGTTCTATATAAACAAAAACAAGGCCATGTTCCAGTTCAAGAATTGCTGTTAAAGATTGCGAAACTTTCAAAAACATTTTGTATTGTATTCGCCTTGAAGCAGTAAGACAAGACAGTAGCTGCCAAGGGAACGGAGCAGGGCAGGTAAAATGTTCATTTAACCTGAGTCCACCTGGGTCCAACTTACCGTTATAGCCATCGTGATTAATGTCGCCCAGTCTGCTGAGCGTGGTGCCAAAACGTGCCTTGGCCGTCACAGGCGGCGGGCAGCGCAGTTGCTTCATCTCGAAATTGAACTGGAATAAATATATATATGCGTATATACAGAGTTTAGTCATCAGGAAACAAAAGCAGAGTTTTCGGCATTACTCACCCGTCCCTTGTTCAAGAACACGTAGATTGCACCATTATCGTGCGAGTCTTCGAGCGCGTGTTGTGGCCCAGAGATGATCACATCCGTTAGATTGTCCCCATTGAGATCCTCGGCGAGCACTGCATAGCCAAAGTATTCGCCGAATTGCTCGCCTCGGAACACGTGAAACGATTCGATGTTCGCGCCGTGTATATCGAAGATATATGCCTCGCCCGATTGCTCATTGGCCTGCGGGGCTGTGGCCACATACAGCAGGCGCTTGAGGTTTGTGCTATCGAAGTGGCCGGAGCTAACTGAATAGCCGAAATATGAATCATCCGATTGGGCCCAGTTCTTTGGGTTTGGTATGTCCGTTTTGTAGAAAACCTCAGGTTCGTAATCGATATAGTCGCCACTGCCACGTGTCTTGCGACGCAGTTGACGACTTGTGTCACGACGACTCGCTGACGGATCGTCCACCTGGTAGACCTTGCGATAACGTATGACCGAGCCGCGCCACGTATAGATGCCCGGTGCCCCGATCAAGAACTGCTCATCATCATCCGAGACATGAGCACTGAGTCCCTGCTCTGCCAGGATATAGAAATAATACCGATGATCATTGTCCTCCTTCACCTGCTCCGTCTTCAGGCGCAATGGCGAGATTTTCGTGACATTCTGTGGCTGATCGGCGAGCGTATCGGCCACCCAATAGCATATGCCGTGCATATGGTAATCTTTCGTCGAGGGCGCTATAAAGTGCGGCGCACACACCAACAGCTTATCCTCATCCCGGGTGCCACCGTCCATGGAGCCACCCAGCCACTGAAAGTCTCGTCGCTCCGAGTCCCATGTGTATTCCGTGTTCTCAATGTTCCGATTGCCATGGCCATCGAACACATATGGGTTGCAGGTGCCGCTCTGCAGCGAACACTTGTATATGGCGCCCGTCTCGTTGACCTTGCGCTGCGCCTCCAGCGTCGACTGGGCCTGTGGAGCGCCCACAATAACACTGCAAGCGAGAGAAAGAGAAAGGGAGAGAGGGAGCATTAGAGACTTGGCTTTTGCTACAAATCTGATGACAATGAACCTTCAATCAATAAAATTGACTTCAGCCAATTGCTCATTGAAATTAGTCGCATTCGATTCCAGCTAAATTACAGCTATGAGTCTTCAGTATAGACATAACTCTGCCTTCACCAACGGTGACCAACCAGATAAAAGACATTATCAGCGAGCATAGCTCGCGTATACTTGATAAACAACATGGGCAGCAGCAGCAGCAGCAGCAGCAAAATGAGCTCAAGTGTGGACGGCACAGGTTTAGGGGTACGGAGTCTAGGAGCATGGGGACTACTATCTTTTATAAATATTTCAGTAAAAAACTGTGCACAATGCAAACTCTGTTTGGGAATACTTTAAAATAAAGCTCACAACTTTTTTGAATTTATGACTGAGAAGCAAATAGAAGGGCAAATGGTGGAAACCAGTAAAAGGTGTGATAAACCTAGAAGGTTAAAAGGGGTTCAACAGGCTGCAGTTGGAGTATAGATAAAATATAACAGAGCGATGGGAACTGCTTGAGGTTAACAATAAGTTAAAGGGAATTATTTAATTCAATTAAATTCTATAAGCAACAATATTCATAGAATTATTAATATCATTTGTTTGCATTGTTCATCATGAACTTTATTAATAATAATTTTATTTTAATACATTTATTTATATTCATATAAGCAATTAGTTAATTCGTTTGATTTGATTGAGCCAATTAAATACTTTTGTTTATATGAAATAAAGTCACAGAGTAAAGCTTACAAATTTCTAGAAAAACTATGCCATACCTATAAAAATGTACTTTTTAAATTGTTAGAAAAGTTCGGTAATATCTGTAAATCATATAAACAGGCATAGGCAGAGTTTGCTGTATTTAATTTCAATATATTTTTGCATAAGCTTCAAAATTCTTTATAATTTGTACAGCATTTATTTGTTGGCGATAGCCCACTTATATATATACAGAAGTACATATATATAGAATATGATATTTCTACCTAATCTTATCAAAGAAAATCGACTAAAAAAGCTAGAACTGATAAAAAAAACCCGCACAACAAATTGGCATTGACTAAACTTTTTTAGCTTGAAAATATGAAAGAAGCAATACATTCAATTGCCACAAATTGAATATGCCTCATTCCACATTATACTATATAGAATATATGATACATAAGTGTACGTAATGCACATAGACACGACTACAAGTGTCTCTAGCTATATCTGCTTAGAAGGGAAGCAACGTACGTGCAATGCTAGAATGCTTCAATATTTGCATAACTTCAGCTTTTCGTGTTTGATATCTACCCCACAAAAATACACTGAGAAAAAAGGGGAGGCTTTATACTGTTCTAAATTTGTAAAGCTCTTACTTTAATAGTACCAAATGATAAATGATAAATGATAAATGATAAACTCTACGAACATTTTTTGTTTACTCTGCTTGCATTTTAGAACAAGTTTAAAGTGCTCGACTTTTTTCCGAGTGTAATGTAATCTCATCTACGCTACCCCCACTCCCACCCCATTCACACACACTATCTGGCCTTTCGCTTGTCAATTGATAGCTGCATAAAAAAAATGACTTCATCGTTTGTACAACTTATTAAGTTGTGCGTTATTTTTTTCATTCACTTTTTTTCTTTTATGATAGCCCCGTAACAGCAGCCCACTTCATCACTTCATTTGGCATCTCGCTCGCACGCCGATTCAATTTCGATTTCGATGATTCATCGAAAACTCCAACCTGTTTGCACTAACGACCGCGAGTGCGAGCGAGCGAGCGAGCAAGAAGACGCGCCTAGAGCTTTGAGTTTTCGAATCGTATCGAATCTTGGATCTTGCCAACGGTACACAACACTTACCCGTGCGGTCTCAGGCTGAGGCTATAACCGAAATATGACGCACGCACTTTCGGCATCACCGGAGCCAGTTGTGGATCTTTGATTTCCCTATTGGGGCGCGGTGACAAGTTGTAGGCGCATGCGCTGCCAGCGAGGCAGGCGACGACCACCAACAGCACCAACGCCACCTCTCGACCTTGCCGAGCCATGGTTTTTAAATATGAAGCGTTGCAATTTATGCAATCAATAAATGTTAGACGTTAAATGTTAAACGGGTTTATGTTATGGCCGATTATGTATTATCACAACTGCCAGCCAGTAACAAGCAAACACACACACGCACAAGGCACAACGCACGACGCGATACACACAAATAGTCAATAATTTGTGCTCCGATTACAAGCGCCTCGAACGAATGTCTAAACTCGACTGAAAAGCTGTTCGCAGCGGCAGTAACCGTCGCAGCGCAGCACGCAGGTAGCTTTTTGAGCGTGCGCTGTGCTGGAAACCACTCTCACTCGTTTGCACTCGTTTGTACGCTCACTCTCTCGCTCGCTCGCTCTTGCACTCAAAACGTGACCGGCTTACTCATTTTACCGTTGCTTGTTCCATGCATTGGGCGTGAGGATGAGAGTGGAAGTGTTCGAATATGCTGTGTTTATGTTTATTATCTTTTCTCATACTTCCATATTTGGCTAGAGTCAACTTGTATGGCATTCCCGCATTAAATGTTATTTCCAAGTGCATTGGAAGCAACAGCAACAACAAAACAACACCTAGTGGAGTGACATGCATATGCATGTGCGTGCAAATAACGTAGCTTCGCATAGCTGATGCTTTGTTATCAGATTGAGAAAACTTTAAAAAGAACTGGTTAATCAGGCTTTTATAAATAGCATAGCTTTAACTTAACAACGACTTCAAGACGGCTAGAACTTTATTTATAGTCACTGATAAGCAGATTATTAAATGTATGCATATAGCATCGTAAAAGAGAATACAACTCAGATTTGTGCTTAGTCAGTGTAGCTAGTGATGGAGTTGGGGTAGATGAATCATAGCCTTGCATCCATGTAATGCACTTTTGTTATACGCTCTATAGAGTTGATATGTGTCAACGTCGTTAAATTGTCAAGTAAGCAGCATAAGCGAGCTACCTGTTAAAACGCCATTTACACATTTATGCAAAAACAATCAACAAATATTTGTTGTTACTTAAGAAAAAACAAAAAATATTAATACACAAAAGATAGCAGCACAAACATATGAATGAGTGTACGAATGTGCGAAAGAGAACTCACATTCGTTAACTCGTAACTAACCGTCTTTACGCCCAACACAAACTTTTGAGTATTCCCCAAAAAAATAAAATAAAAGATTATGAGTCACTCGCTCAAGGGCCCTGTAATGTGTCACCCAGTTATGCACACAAACATACAGACACGAAGGCATCCACGGCTGCAGACAGTCCGAGTCATTTGTATAGGTACAATGGAGTTTTTGTTTGCGCGTGAGCAAAGCATTTGCATATTGAAATTTGCTTTGCAAAAATGATTTTCGTTTAATATAATATCAGTTTTCTACCCACCTACAGGCAATGTATCAATTTTGGCAATGAATTGTTGTATATATTTATGTGTGCGTCATTTTGATGTTCTCATTGGAAGTGCAGCAAAAGAAATTGTAAGAACTTTGTTTCTATTTAAGTGTTGCCGAGTGTACGAAATCATGAAAGCAACTTACATGGAATGCCCTATTGGAAGTGCAGCAAAGCAGTTGCCAGAGGGCGCCAGTGGGAGCAAATACTTAAATTCGTATGCACATGCGATATAATACATATATATATATATGTATATATGTATGTGTGCGTGTGTACATGTGCGTACATATGTATTTGTCATCGACTGGCGCTTTGTTGGCAATGATGTACGTGCGCATGTTAACGGACAATAAGATTAAGCCACGTCGTGGACCACACAAATCTTCTTTCTTTCGCGCAGTGATTGCTGCCATCTCCATCAACAACAACAGCAGCAGCAGCAGCAGCAGCAACTTGCGGTCAAAAAATGTTTAAGAACAAAAGCAGCCGCTGCATTTGCTGTTGCTTGAAGCGGGTTTAATGACCAAGAGAAAAGCAGCTAAAAATATTTTCGTGTGGTGCTAACTCCAGCGGGTTGAAGAGTCTCTATCTCTCTATCTCTTTCCCTCGCTCTCTGCCTCTCTCTGGCGACGCGGGGGCGCGTGTGACGTATGAAAATGGCGCCGCAGCAGACAGCACTTTATGCATTATAATATGCAGCTGTTGTTGTTGTTGTTGTTGTTGTTGTTGTGGTTGTTCTTGTTGCTGGTGTTGCAGGCAGACGCCACTGCCGGCAATTGTCGCCGCGCTGCTTGTTGCGCAATTCATTTGCCTTTGCTCACTTTACACATTTGATATTCGTTCGTAAGAAATGAATCATAATCTTTTGCAACAAATGAAGAAAAGTGAATTCGCAATTGGAGTTCATTTGCCCCTGGTGTAAAATCAAGTACAATTATTAATTGTTTGTTTTAATCTGCATAATTATTTGAGTTAACTATTTGCTAGTCCCAGGGGAGAGCTCTTAAGTTTCTTTTACTGCTTAATGAGAATATTACGTTAATGTTATCGATAAGTATGCAAGTTTTCTCTAATTTAATATTAAATGGCAATTAGCAGATTTATCGATTTCGATTGTTAGTTAATTAAAGTTGTAACTGATTTTAAATATTGTTCAGAATATAAGTAATAATAATAATAAGTTCGAACCTTGTACTTCTTATATATCGATATCGATAACTCCACAGATTAGAAGCAATTCAATATTGATTCGGTTTTTTATATACTATATATAAAAGTTGTTATAAATAAATAATAAATTCTGGTAGTACGGGTATTTATCGTAAATATCTAATGCCTATCGGCTTTCTATTGTTATCGATTGTTTTTAGTTTTTCTATTCTTTTTGATCCCATTTGTTACCTTAACATTATGGCTGGTGCAATGAACTTGAAGTCCCTGAAAATAGCTTTTTACATATAGGGTATTCCCGTTCCCATTAAATTTAAATAGTTCTCGTTTGTTTTTTGGCTTTCTGTTTGTAGCAACTTCAATTGATGTGAAATAAATTACACGTTGTCGTGATTTTACGCGTAATTTCCGTAAATAATTAGGCGCACTCACAGCTAATTGTGGGGCTAATAACAACAGCAACTGGAGAAAAACAAAATTTGTTGCCCATTGCATTGGGATTTTGAAAGTGCGAGTCATAAAAAATGGACAGCAGCCGACAGAGGAAGTATCCCAATTAGCTATACAAGTGGTGTCCATCCAACTAAAGAGAGAATAATGAAAAACTAGCACTCGCTCAACACTCAACACTCAAATGCGAAACTCGTTATAAACACGTACTACCCATAGTCGCGCACACAGAAACAACATTGTCAATTGCCCAAAAGAGAAGAACAAGAGAAACATACATAAACATACGAGAAAGAAAAATTATTGCTATAAAAAACGCGCGCGAAATAAACCGAATAATAAAATGCAAAAAACCGTACGAAATTTGATGCTTTGTCATCCGAATCTGTGGCCCAAATTTGGCGACTTTTTCTTATGCCCTCGCCACAAGCGCAGCCTGTGGAGTGCGTGAATCAGCTTGCAAACATGAAGAGCTGATGAAGGATAGGATGTTGTCGATGATGATTATGATAATAATGGTCATACTGATAGGAATTATAATATTACTGACCAAAGCCCTAAGATTGCTTCGAAAATAGTTGGGGATCTGCCAGGGCTTGACTCGGGGCCCAGTTGCATCACTGCCCTAGAAACCATATTGTCATACCATGTCACTGCTTTGTAGAAAGGGGCTAGAATGTTACATCTGTCAGTCCAAGGGCAATCGGTTTCGAATCACTTATATTCGTAGTCCATGGTAGCTCGAAGAGTACAGAGTTCTATTTTCTAATACTTCTTCTGAACAATTGGTCTAGTCGTTTTCCAGCGGTACCCATCGTAGAAGCTTGAACTACCAGAGGCAAAGGAAGCCCAGATGGGCATTATCAAGACGATTTGCCTTGTATTTGCAAGTTAATTACAGGATAACTACTAGGATTATGCTAATGACTTTGACAGCATATGCAAATGCTTATTGTTTATCAATTGCCTTGGAACTTTTGTTAGCTAAGTTATATAACGTGCCACAAGACTTAGCGAACAAAAGTTCCGGACTATGGGTTGCATTGTCGTACATAGAATCCATATCATCAAAGCTTCTATCCGAAAAATGCATGACTACTTGAAATGATTTATTTCATAAGTGAATCATTCTCCTAAAGCACGACTTCATAATGTGTCGCATTTGCTTTCATTCTTATCTTACAGTAATATGGGACTTTTCGATAGTTATATAAGCTATATACATATATGGGTAACTGAATCAATCAGCTGTAAGCCGATTTTTCACAAATGAATGATCATTCATTAAAATTCAACTGAATTTAATACAATTATTTGAATATATATATGTACCAAGGACACTTCAGTAAAGCTAACCTCACTTTTTTTACTTATCTATATATGTTAAAATAAAGCTTACATTTATACTAGAAGCTATATAATTTGACTAGTCTATGTACAGCTGTCTTAGTCATCAAGTATTAGATAAAAACTTAAATCGTATGACTACGCTAGAGTATTTCCCTAGCGACTTGTCACATGCAACTGTTGTTCTTCTCTGTCTTTGGCTTTTTATGAGAGTATTTTCAAGCTAGAGATGTGAAATTTGGTTTATTTACCCGTTGGCTCTCTGGCCTAGTCGAAAAATACTATTTTTGGTTTAACAGTTATGCTATTATTTTAAGTGTTGGAGACTTGAAATTTGGAATATGTTTTTGAATAGATAACTCAAGAACGTAAACATATAGTATATATTGCTGAGCTGCTTACAAATGTTACTTTCACAATTTTAAAACTAAAAAAAAAAACTTAAAAAAAAAAAAAAAACTTAACAAAACCTTTAAAAAACTTAAAAAAAAAACTTACGTGAAGTTACTTTTAAGATCTAAAGATTGACGCCCGCTAGAGGTGTGGCATAGACCTTATTATTTAGTACTTAATATAATTTCTGTTTTATTTTTGACGCTATTGGCACTTTTAACTTGTTTGGACTGTTTTGGAACCGTGAACGGGTGTTATGCAGTCGGTGCCGCCCGACTGCAAAATTCTTACTTTTTTTTCGTTTTATTTTTGCTTGATTTGATTTGATTTGCGGCCTTAGTTGCTCTGATGTCATTGCTTGGACCAGTATTCTAAACATAAGTACAAGCCATCAGGTCTATGTACGACGAAGTATATATATATAAACACATATATAGGTACATGTACTCATAAC